TGAGGACCGAAATTGTTAATTCACTAACTTCGCGAAAAAAAAATTATTTTGGCCCAATATTAAAGTTACTATATCGGCGACGTTCGTTGGTTTGTTTAGCAACTTTTGATGTAAAATCGGGGACTATGAAGAGGGCGTCGAAGTACCCCTTAAAAAGCAAAATGTTTGAAACTATTTTCTTTTTAATTTTACTTTAAATGGTGTAAGGCAGAGTTTGTAAATTATTTGAAACATAATAAGTGGGTGTGCCGTAATGTAATGACGGGCTGCAAATATGTATTAATATTTAGAGTTAATGAGTGAATACCAATCGATATTCATTCCTTAGTTATCACGTCAAAATCGTTTCCTTACACCCGCTACAGCCAACACCCACCGTTAGCCCTCCCCCTTTTTCCCGAGAAAGGTGGTTTGTTCTTCTAACTGTAGAAACCACGGAATCGCAACGACACTTTTAAATAAGCCTAATATCAAAATTTAAAAAAAAAATATTAGAATAATTTTAATATGCAGGATGTCCTTCGAACAGAATTATATATATATATATATATATATATATATATATATATATACGACCAGGGGGACAAAATAGAGGTTTTTCTTAATAAGCTGGATGATTTACTAGAATTGGTTAATTAACTTTTTAATTAGTGAAAATAAACATATCTACAATTAGATTCTCGCTGAGCGTCATCAGAAACCACTAAGTCTGTCAAACTTAGGAGGACTTGAAGCGCGATTTGCACCAAAGTGCAACAGGCGAAACACTGGCGGTTCGAAAACGCGAATGATAATATATTCATCCTTGTTTTAGGACCGCCAGCCTTGTGCCTGTTGCACGAGTGCAAACTTTAGCCCACCCCTGCGCTTACCACGTGCTTCAAGCCCTTCTAAATTTGATTGACTTAGTGGTTTCTGATGACGCGCAGCAAGTTTCTAATTGGCAGCATGCGTTTATTTTCACTTATTAAAAATTTAAGTTTTGTTTTTCTTCAGTTTATAATTCGACTTATTATGAATAATATCCCCCTTATTTTGTCCCCCTGATGCACCTGAACTGACCACATCTTTCACGGCGCTTTTTTTTTTTTTTAATAAATATTTTTAATTAAATTTAAACACCCTGTAGAGCATGTCCATAGGCTAAAAGACGCGTTATTCATCCCGGAAAATCTAAATTATTTTTCCTACTGTTCACAGAGATGTCAGCTGTTACGCTGAACCAAACAAGTAAGAGACTCTGGTTGAGTATGGACATTTTACTTTTGATATCTTATTTGTTGTGCGCGAGTTTGCGGAGCATGTGCGTCTTTCTGAGCGCGGAAATTGTGAAATGCAGATCAGGGGTTTGTCGAAAGTGTTTACACACCTTTTGAACAATTATGCGATGGCATACAAATGGTACTACAACTGTACTTTCATTACTACTTGTATTGTGCCACACTCTCTTGCTACTTGTATTGTGTCAAATTTTCTTGCTACTTGTATTGTGTCACATTTTCTTTTAATGAGTAGATTAAAGGTGATCACGTATCCTCATTAACACTGGGCCAACGGGCGGAAATGAAGTCAAAGTAAGTAGAAAAGGTGAGTTCGTCTGCTTCTTTTGCAAGGTTTCTGCTGATGTCGGAACACCGAGTTCTGATTGGCTCTGATTGAGTGGCTAGATATCAGGCAGCTTGCTTCGAGGCCTACCCACTATTCTTGGATCGGAGTCAATTAAAGCTCGGCGTTCTGATGTCACCACAACCCCTGCAACAACAACAAAAAAAGACAACCTTGCGCTCCGCATACTGCCATATTATATACAGGGTGTTTTTTTTTATTTTTAAGCTTAACAGATTTGTTTAAAAAAAGCCTTGAAAGTTACACCTATGCCGCTTGTGGAGGAGAGTTATACGGCCAGGGGGACATATTATAGGGGGCTAATCGTAACGATCAGTCGTCTAATTAATTGAAATTCGTTAATTAACTTTTTAATTAATGAAAACAGACATATGGTTCCAATTAGAAACTTGCTCAGCGTCATCGGAAACCACTAAATCAGTCATTTTCAGAAAGACTTTCGGCGCGTGAGAAGAGTAGCATTGTACTAAAGTTACCACTCGTGGAGCAGGTACAAGGCTGGGGCTAGATAAGAGACGGAAAAATCGTGCGGGCGCCTTATCGCAACCGCTAGCTTTGTACCTGCTTCACGAGTGGTAACTTTAGTGCACTACTACGCTTCTCACGCGTATATATATATATATATATATATATATATATATACAGGGCGGGAGGCGAGCAGTGGTGAGAGATGAGGGCTGCTGGGCTTCCTAGTGCATTCAGTCGATGTATTGGTTCATGCTTTCTTGTGTCTGAGTGAATTTTACTAATCCCGTTTTGAATTAAATCCCGGTAAGGCATTTGAGCGTGGGACATACGCAGACTTGACCCACTAGAATCTAAAAAAAAAAAAAAATTCACACTTAATGGATTTCTAGTGGACTTCTCGGTTTTGCAAGCGCTGTTACAGCGCAACAAGCAGGCTCTGTTGAGATGACAAGAAAAAATCCACTGCCCTGGACGCTGTACAAACCAACACTCCGAAGAGTGAAAAGCTTGACAAGCGTTTACTTCCGGGACAAGTCGCTTACTGCCGGTGACGTCATACCTGCTTGCTAACGTTACTAGAACTGCTAGAACACCCATTTGGAAAACTGGCCCTGGAGACCCGGACCGCTCGCGTCCGCTGAGACCAACCTAGATACGATTACAGCGCCGCCCGTGAGCGGCGAGTCAAAACATGAAAGTTCGATTTATTTAGCCCCTGCGAGATGACGCCACCGACCGTCGCGCGACTCGACTTGACCGGTACGTGCGGCCCTGCAGTTCCTGGAGTGGCCGGTGCGGGAGAAAGGGTGGCGTTGCGATCGCGTCTAGTTCGGTTCGCGAGTATGGATTGGCGTCACTTTTTCAAAGCAGGCTCTTATGGCAGTTTCCCAACTGAGCTATTCTGGTAACGTTGCCATTTGCTCAATGCGCCATTTAGCCGCCAAGTGGGGATCAGTGATGGTCACAGTACCACACAAATTCATATAACATATTTAAGAACCCACGCCATTGTGTTTGATGCGTTCCAGTATTCAACTCCAAGAACCGTCATGGTAGCGAACTTGCCGTTGCATAAAGCCTCTATTTCGAAAAAAAAAAAATGAAAGAGGTGGTGCTACGATTTTTGGACTCTGTTCAATCGAATAATTGCAGGTATTGTTTTATGCCACCTATAAAAATGAAAAATAGAAAACCACTTTATTTGCCGTTGCATAAAGCCTTTATTTCGAAAAAAAAAAATGAAAGAGGTGGTGCTACGATTTTTGGACTCTGTTCAATCGAATAATTGCAGGTATTGTTTTATGCCACCTATAAAAATGAAAAATAGAAAACCACTTTATTTTTTGCATTCACTTTTTTTTTTTTTTTAAACGAGCAATGTGTGCAGTGACTTCAGTGGGAGCACTGATCGTCCCTGAAGTGGTGTTTCCTTTGCCAGCCTTTTAGCAAAGAATAAAAACCTGACAAGGGTTCTGTCGGCATGTGTGCTAGTGGTGAAAACTATCGATAGTACTATCAATATCGAGTCACCAGAAATCTGACGATCTATAGTAAACTATCGATAGTAGACTATCGAAAAATTATAGATAGTACTATCGATAGTTGACTATAGAAAAACTATTGATAGTACTATCAGTATTCGACTATCGGAAAATTATTGTTAATCGACTATCGTAAACCTATCCATGTACTGTCGACGGTTTACTATCGATAGTTTTCAGACACTGGCAGTTTGCGTCGCTCCCTCTTCTTTTTCTCACTTCATTTTTTTTAAATGGGACGCCAACTAGCCCAAGCATCTACCTTCTGAACTTTGGTTCAGCTTTCAGTGATGACGAAACGGGAGTTTGGGCAAAGAGAGGAGAAAGGGGGGCGAGCGGCAGTTCGACAACTGTTTTCGCTCTAGTTGTGCAAAACTATCGATAGCACTATCGATAGTCGCTGGAAATTTGACTATCGATAGTCGACTATCGAAAAAATATCGATAGTACTATCAAAGTCGACCATCGAAAAACTATTGATAGTACTAACGATTGTCAACTAGCAAAAAACTATCAATAGTACTATCGAAGTCGACTATTGAAAAATTTTCGATAGTACTATCGATAGTCGACAATCGAAAAACTATCAATAGTACTATCTAAGTCGACTATCGAAAAACTATCATCACAAATGTGTGGCCCTGCAAAACTTTTGGCTCAAGGTGCGGCGGTATTGGAACAGGGAAGGCGGGGGGCGACCACACCTCAGACAGTTCCGAAATTTAATCAGAACAATACGGCAGAGAGCGCGCAAAGTCGACGTCGCCCCCTATCTTCTAAATAGCTGCGACGCCTCTGTCAAGGAGTCCTCAATGTCCTGAGCCTCCTACTGCCTGCTTGGCACAGCCAACCTAGAACACTGGCAGGGAGATGCGACTGAGGGAATCGGGAGAGCCGAGACTAACGACAATGATGCGCAGACTGCTGTCCCGAGCAGGGGTCGTCACTCAACCAGGTATTGCTTTTTCTTTTAATTTCTAACAATGATGGTGGAATGAAAATATTTTGGGGGCTATAGGAAGTGTTCATGTTGTAATCAGCAAGGGCTGTGGGCAAAGCATCATATCGCCTGCCGTGAATAACGGTTTGGATGGTGTGGAAGGAATCTGGTGAATGTTTACTGTCAGCCCGTGCTCAACTGCTAAGCCCACAACTAATAACTATGGCCACCAGCCAAATGCTCCCTGCAGAACAGACTGCACAACTTTGAGTGTTAGTCTTTATTTACATGCCAATCATATAACCCATGTATTTTGTGTCCAGACATGCCTATGCTGCAAGAGATAAGCTGTGCAAGCACTTCAACATTTACAGCAAGGTTCCCTGGCAAGGGAGCATGATTAAAGGCAAGAAATCATGAGGAGGCAAGGGGGTTTTTGTATCTTTATTATGAATTGAGATGAGAAACTGCAGACAACAAAAATTATGAGGCCAGAGTCTCGCTAGAGCGACGAACGAAAGGAACTGACACTGACGAGCCTCAAACACGTGCAGCCCGCACACGGGGGTATCTACGACACGCTTGGGGTAGCTTGTGCTTCCTTCACAAGCACTGGGGGACTGCAAGCCTGCCAAAGGCACCATCCCGTGCATGCTGCACGGTGTCCATTGTTCCCGTTTGTCGCTCTAGTGGGACTCTAGCATGAGTGCACCCCAACACTGAGACAAAAGAACAATGAAGCTATCACAGCACACAACTCGGGGTTACGTAGGGACTCTCGTATAAGCATGCTCAGGCGACGCACCCTGCGCCATGGCCTGCCTGATTTTTGGATAAACTAAATTTTGAATTTCATTCATTGTTTCGAATTGACAGCCAGGGCTCAATTCACGGAGCTGACCGGCAAGCGTCATGCAAAAATGATAGATTGTATCTTGCATTTCTGTTCTGCTGGTCCTCGCAGCCGGAGTGTCGTTTACACAACTGGAAAGGAATATTAAGTGGTTCTCATCATTCATGCTTCGTGTCATAATCGTTATTCATTTTCATGCTGTAATTACTTGTAATTTACCTTTCCTGCCTCCTCGACAGCCTCGCTAACTTTTTGGGCCTGGGCATCCTTTTCAGAAACAAAAAAAGACCAAGGGCCTTATTAGTATGAGTGCAAATAAATTTATCTTATTCCATATCACAGAGAAGGGGTATGGACAGCGTACTACAGGGTCGTCGAGATAAATCCAGAAAATTCACCATATTCAGGAAAACGCACAGAGGTAAAGGTGAAATCAATATTGACCATTTTCTGTGCTTTGTCAGGTCTGCACTATTATCTTCCTGGCTGACAGATTATCTGAACGTCTTGGCAATGTTGTAAACTTGAGTTTTCTTGTAGCCATAATACGCATGATTTGCTTAGGGAACTCTCCAGCGCAAAGCGATTTAAGTATTGCCACTCTTCGGTCCTATTCCCCGCTCAGTTTCGAGCAAATCGCGAATTGTTTACCACACGATGGTTCGTTGTCAAATCACGTGGCCGCAGAAACGCAATACGGCCTGTTAGTTTCCCTGTATTGTTGAGAAACGAAATCTGAGAAAAGTCCGGATTTATCTCAATGACCCTATATACCGTACATTATCTGCACAACCAACACTGTACTCGTATCACAAAATTACTTGCCTATCACTATCCGAGCCTGTGTCGGGTTCTTGGTCCATGCTCTCTGGTGACCTATAAGAGATAAAGCCAACATTTCTGTGCTGCTCGTATGCCACTGTACTGTCTCGCCGTAAACGAGCACACGGCGAAGGCTGCATACCCAGTGAGTCAATCGGCACATCGGAAGGAGACACATAACTATGCTCCGTCCCACCAGTTGTGCGCAGCACGGTCGAAGCTACCCTTATACGACTTTCGAGCAACGGGCTAATCTCTGAGCGAGACAAAAGCAACCCCCGGAACCCGCAAAAAAGGGTGGTCCAGGTGAGAGGGGAGTTCGTCCTTCTCTTCTCCAACTGCTTCAGTTACGCTCTCGCCCCCTGCCTTTGCGGCCGCAGTCGAAATGCCCACACAACAAACAACAGTGTTCTATGAAGAAATGATCACAGAACTATCTGCAGACGTGCCTCGGGCACGTTCGAAGCACGTCAGCTTCGCACATAGGTGTGCTTTGAAAGTGCCTTCAGTCAGTCTTTAAACGACCAACGTGACAGGACTGTCTTGCAAGAAAGAAACGTGCCTCAGACATTATTTGCAGACTGTCTTACAGTGCCATACTCAGTCCCGTGCAGACTGTATGAGCAGTGCAACTGCGGCCTTAGGCCCGTCCCGTGCTTCGCCTATGTCGCTCCCACTGCCTCGTGGGGCCGCAGAGCTCGCTCTTTGCCAAGTGACGGTGAAACAAAGTGCAGCTCGCGTTGCTGCAGAGAAATCACTTGGGCGCATCTAGAGAATGCAGAAAACTACGACTTTTACCTTTCGCTCACTCTGCTGGCGGGAGTCACGGGACTACGGGGCTCAATGGAGTTGCTGAAGGTGGCAGGCCCCTCCCATTCCGTTGAGTAGACGCAGATCAAGGACTCGTCCGGTACCGGGGAGGGGACGACGTCCACGCTGGTGACGTGCTGCTCCACGCTGCTCGCTCTGCATAGAAATGATGCAAACCGATTTGCACGCTTGATGGTTCTGCAAATTTGTACGACAGCACGGTGAAGAGAGCAAATCATGCACCTCCCCAAGGCAGAAATTGTTGGAGTGATTACGTGTCGTGCAAACAAGGTGCTATTTCTACGACGTTCAATAAAATTAAACCCTTTAAAAAACATATGCAAAAAAAAAAATTTTTTTTAGCAGTTTATTGTAGAATATTGGGCAAGGCGCTCAATCAATGTTTCGAGATAATCGCAAAAAAATGGTGGATGGGCGCTTGTCCGGTCATCAATTTTACATATGAATGTACTGTGCATATTTTCTCAAATCTTACAAATTTTGGTATGGGCGCTTAGTGTGGAATGGGCGGATGCACGGTATTCTACGGATGGAAAAAGGACATCATTCAAGAAATTTGCACTGAAGAGCAAAATTTTTACAAAGTTATATTTATGACCCAAAACGAATTTGTAGCTGGCACCCACAGGAACCCGCAGAAATGTGGCCGCTGTGGTTACGTGATTGGCCGCTACAGTCACGTGGTGCTTGCGACCTTTTGGGAGCTCTCTATGGTTTCTACAAATTAATTATTAGTCTTCGTTTGAAGTGCAACAAGAAAAAACAAAGATTAATAAGTAACTTTTAGAGCCCAAAGGAAGCTTCCGAAAGAGCGCAAGCACTGTGTGGTAAACCTATGTGCCGGTCAGAAAGTGACTGCGGCGGCGTGGCATGCCACGCTCGGCCTGTGGAGGCCATGTGGGGGTTCTGGGGACATCAGTGGTGGCACTGGACAGCTCCGGCATAACTTGCGGCAGCGCACAGGTCTACCATGTGACCAGAGGCAGCTCTCGCGGGCGCCAACTACAAATTTATTCCGTGTCGTAGATAGAGCTCTAAAAATTTTGTTTTTTTGTTGTATATTCATTTTATGGCATCCTTTGGCCGTCCAGGGTGTTCAAAACAATGTTTTCTTCCTTTGCTGCCTTTGACGAGCAGAGCTCGTTGGCGGCTTTCTGGTTAAAAATGTCACGGACGAGCTCAGCACGTCCAGTAAATGTTTTGGTAACTGTCAATTCCATGAACGAGCTAGGCTCGTCCGCGTGGTTTGCGGCGTTGATCATAGATGGCAGCACTCGTTTTAGATGGCATATTTTTTTTTTCGCCCCTGTTGGTAGGAAAAATGAGAAGATACTCTGGCAACAGTCATTTAGAAACAGCGTTGCTAGCCAACGGAGCATGTGGAACTTCATTGCAAATCAAAAAGAAAAGCGATCGCTGAAGAAAACCTGAGTGACTCGGAAAAAGTGTTCATCAAGCAAAGACGATGATGAATTTGTTGCTGAACTCGGCTCTTCAAGTGAATCCGATGAAGACGACGACAACACTTCGAATGGTGGCAGTGATTCCACATAGTCCGCAACATCAAATAAGGTGGCTGCACTGTACTTGCTGTTTCAGCACAAATGAAACCAACCAGGCCAGCCCTCATTTTATTGTTTTTCTTCACACCCAAGCCCCAGAGGATTTAAGATGCTCAACGCATACGCAGAAATAGATGCTTTGTGCATGTGCACAACTGTAACAAGCTACATGTGCACACAGAAATATACAGATTTTTGTGTAATAGACTTCTGAAATTCTACTCGTGATACTAGAGGAATAAAATTCTTTAATAAAAATAACATATTTAGGTCACTTAAAAAAAAAAGAAAAAAAGTAGCCTTTAAGGGGTTAGGCAGGATGGCTTTAGATTAATATACTCTGTTTTGCCTTATGTCTGGCCACAGGGAATGTTACAAGCCATCCCAGTTCCAAGATCATGGCATGCGACTACGCTTTCCGCATGTCACACTGCATCCTCTCTAAGGTCACAAGAAACTCGCATGGACTTCGATTGGTTCCGATGACTCCTAATATCTGCTCGTCAGACGTAAGGTGAAACAAAGTATAGCTCCTGTTTGAGTGTTGTCACATGAATACAAGGGAGATTATTCAACGGCAGAAAAGGACAGCTGAGCAGCTGTCAATTTCCTAGCAATGCAAATTGCAGTCGCATCCGGAGAGCATGCTTTACCAAGATGAGTCTTTTTGTTAACTTCCATGCAGATTTTTCATTCACTCTATTCCAGAAAGCTGTGTAGATGTTTCAGTACTCACTCTTCACGGATGAAACCAATATTTGTCCAGATTCTGTCGAAGAAAAAGAAAAGAATGTTTTCACGCACTAAGGCAACCCAAACGACAGCATTTGTGGCATCATCAATTTCTTCGGTGTCAAAGGGGCGGTGCAACGGTTGTCGGACTTTGGCCAATTAACCGGTGGAGTCAGTCTGCGTCGGCTAGAGTGCGAAGAACAGAAAAACTTTTTTTCTCGAGCACGCTAGTTGTTATTTTAAAAAATTGAAACAAATCGAAGGTTAGAGCACCCCTCAACTCCCACGCCATCTTACAAGTGACGTCACTGGGGCACCACCTGGTCTGCCGTTGGGCTCTGTCTTTGGAGCCCCCAGCCGCTCCCTTTGCAATTGTCGACTTTTCGACTGGCATTGCCGAAAGTTGCAGCGAGCGATTAAGACAAGAGGCGGTTCGCCACGGGGCTGACAGCAAGTGTAGCAGAGGAGGCGGACTTGTCCTGTTGACTTCCACGTGAACTCCAGTGACTCAACACTCCAGTTTCCGTTACCGCCACGTTTGGCTGCAGATCGGCAAAAGATTTGTTTTTTCCTTTGAGATTTTGCGGCGATATAAACGATATAAAAAAATATATGAGCTGTAAATTTGTTCAAACGTTCAAATCGTTTCACCGCCCCTTTGACTGTGTTTTAGAGCACAGTTCCCTCTGTGCAAAATTATCAACCAGCACAGTTCACAGGCTTTAGAAGAGTGGATTTGGTTACATAGTGTGTCTCACTTACAGTTTTTCGTCGTACATGGGCTCCATTATGTCGAGCATGGTCTTGAAGTGTTTCCACTTTATGTTGGGGACAGTTCCAGCTCCCACTCCATTCTTCACACTTTTCTTTATCTGGTTCCTGATTTTGACGTATGTGTCCTTCAGATTTTTGAATTTCGTTTGACATTTTGAACCTGTGGGAAAAATGCCTTTATTTAGACACACTTGACCAGTTGGATGAATAGTACAGCGTAGAACCACTAAACCAGCTACGCCCAGAGTATCGGCGCCTTGTTCCCCGATCTGCTAGTGGGTGCCGCCATCTCGGTGCTTAGTGCAGAGAAAATGCAACTGCCGATCACCACAATTAAAAAAAATGGGACCTCATCAGCTTTAGATGCGGCGTTAAGAAGTTCAGGTGAGATTGTTTTGCACTGTCGCAAACTGTTTAAACATTTCAGGAGGACGGAAAAGCATTTCCTGCGATTTCAGATAAAGCTTTGGATAATTGGCAACCATAATTTCAGGAACCAAGATGGCTGAAGCGTCGTTACACCAAACCCCAGCATGCAGAGGACTTCCGACCAGGCCGTGGCTGGTCGCAATCCTTCCAATGAAGCCCAGACCGCGGCTGCCAGCACAAAAATAAACGCACGTAAAGAAACCGTGTCGCAGCGCACACCAACCACGCATAACTGAAGATACGCAGTAAAAACAAAACAAAACTGTCTATCGTAAGGAGTGTCCTCTTGCCATATTATTAAACATATTATCACCAGCATTACCACCCTTAGCCCTCCGTTATACAGCTGTGTAACCACTACATATACGTTAAAATTCCTTTGTGTTCCCGTGTGTATTGTGCTTAGCATCCCGCCCGTGTTGTACCCATTGCGTATTGTCAGCATCAGTTCCATCATTCTCATTAGTCTTCTGCCCTGTGTGAAGATGCCAAAATTCTGATGCTTTTTGATTTATAGACGCTTTACACACGCGCCAGAATACAGCCGCCATTGCTGACCTTCTCTTGTTTTACCGAGATACCGAGCCACTGAAATTGGTGTGGACGAGCCTCCACAAAGGCCAATGCTGGGGAGCAAGACAGAATAAAATCTATGATGTCAATAACCTGGCCTGCTATGGTAATAATGAGGTGAAGTAAACGTAATAAGGGGGATCAAAAACTGAAGGTCAGTTATGGCGGCCCCATGCACAGCTGCTGCAAAGCGTCTATATGCCTGGTGAGTTTTCTGGGTCCTAATTATTGTGCAACGTCATAATTCGCTACACACTGAATTTAAAAAAAAAATGAAGCATATTTATTCACCTGCCCTAGACTTTTTTTTTGTATTTTTATGCTATCTTTTACTTTTTTCTTTTTATTTAAATACTTATCTAGGAATATTTATTGACTTACTTATTTTTAATCTAGCCCTCGGCAAAGCGACAAATCCCCGACCTGGCCCCTTTGCCAAAAAGTTTGGAGACGCCTGCTCTGACGCTTCTCAAGTGCTCTGTTGGGGGCCGCACAGAAGATGAACGGATGAATGCTAGCGGCTGTGCCCTTTGTAACGGGCGGTAGCTTGCACCGCCTAGCCAAGAAGCTAAAAACCAAAAGTATGAGTCCTCCCTTCGCCCTCCTAAGCCAATTTGCTTCCCCTCCACAATTCCGTAACTATCGCCAGGCGGTGTGGAATATAACTAGGGTTTAGCGTTTTTGGTTTAAACCGATAAAAGTATGTCTAATTCGTTGCCTAAAATTCCGTTTTAACCGAAAAAGGTGTTTTCTAGGGCCGCATCGAGGTGGGTGGGGGAGGGATAGAGAGAGGGCTTGGCAAGGTTCAACATTGTGTGACGTCTTCATGATTGCCCTCTTTCAAGGTTCAACATGCAACAAAAGAGGTCTTGGATTGGCCTTCGCGGGACAACTGTGTCCTTTCTGTAACCGGGTTTAGTGTGTCAAGTTCCCGGTCCCCAAAAAAAAGTTTGGATGTGGACTACTATAAGGTTTTTCGCTTCATGCACTTCAGAGGACATCGAGGAAAGTCGTCAATACCTTTCTTAACACCCCCTCTCAAACTTCCTTGTGGTTAAAAACATACATACAATGGATTTTTTTTTTGTTTTGCCATTCCGCTGGTTTTTGTACAGTCATCACCTCAGATGGTCACATAGTCAGAATGAAAAGGAAAAAGAAGTGCGCTGAAGATTATGCCCGCGAATTCCGCAATTTTAAGGTGTGTCCTGATGGAAGTTGTAGCGAAAACCACGTATGTATATGTGTCATTATTCTTTTAGTGATCGCAAATATCACAGCCACAAGGATCATCTGATCCGGTGTCCGATGGTGCGTTTTTCATACTCACCGAAAAAAAAAAAAAAAATTGAATTATAAAGTAAACATTGAAAAAAGTATGCCATATTTCGAAAAAATAAAAACCGAAAACCTAACCAGGATGACCTTTGGGGGATGGGACAAAAGAAACCTAAAAACATCAACCCCCAGCGAAAGTCACCAATTTCCCTTTGGTCAAACTACCTCACGGAACACGGGATGCCGACCTTCGACCTAGAAAATGTGGCCCGAGCCCCACCTCGTTGTCAGAGAATCTCCTACCCGCCGCAAGCATGCTGAACCTTGACAAGAGACGCTGCAAGGCGGCAGACACGTCAGTCTTAGCAATGCCGCTAGCTAGCGTAGCTCCCATTGCTGCACGACGCGCCGGTGGCGATGCCGACACCAGCTAGGCAGCACTGCCCGGATCCTCTAGTGACAACGTTTGGAGGGGACAAAAGCACAGGGCTTCTCTTCCATGGCGTGTTCTCGAGCACTTTTCGGGCGTAAAAATATCTGTATAAATAAGCCAGTAAACAGAGTGCAACGGAAGTTTTCACAAAGGTGTTTTTAGGTGGTGCATTGATCATATTCAAATTTTGTGAGTGTGGGCTTCTAGGAAGAAAATGCACGTACATAAAATCTCGCCATCTTCCCATGTGCGAAAGGAAAACAGAAGCGAACTGTCGGGTCGACACCGCTGCTCACATGTGGCACCACGTGGAACGGAGACTTGAAAACTTCTTGGAGGTTAACACCCTAGAGCAGATTCAGCAGATCCGAGCGTGCATTGTACGATGTGCGAGTGGTGGTGTCAACCCGACGGTTTGCTTCTGCTTTCCTCCCGCGCATAGGAAGAAACAAGATTGTTTTTCCTTGAATATTTTTTCTAGAAATCTACACTTACAAAAAGTTTGAGTATTATCAAAGCATCACCTAAAACACCTTTCCAAAAAGTTCCACGGAACTCTGTTCACTGGCTTATTTATAATGTCTTCTTGCACCCAAACAGAGCCCAAGAACGCCTGTAGGGGATGTTGCTTCAGTGTGAGCTTTCTGCCTTGGATAACACTTGGGCTTCTGGTGAACACACTCATTCGAAGCACGAAGGAAGACGGCACACGCGTGTTGACACCTGAACTCTTACTAAATTCCTGACCCATCCCCGACTTTGGAGAGCAATAAAGTCACTGAATCCCGGGTAAAGTAGACCCATTCATTACCTTCCCTGCTTGCTAGCCAGACACAGATAAACACTAACATACAGACGACCAAACCTGGCAAAGTGATTGGCCAATAGGTTACAGTTGCCACGGAAATCACCATTTCAGTCCATTCAAACCTTTGAAAGGGTCGTTCTGAGTCGCGCCAACATCACTGTGGAGCATTGCTGTATTGAAAGTGTTCCTCGTCAATACAAGTGTCGTTGGTACTGTGCATGCAATCTATTTATTGATCATGCGCATCTCCACAGATCTCGTTCAGTGATATAGTTCTTGCAAATTTAAGGATGGGACATTTGTTTTTCGATGCCGCATGTGGTAGCGGTGTGAAGACGCGCGTTTGTTTCGCCGGTATATGGACAACAAAATCTCAGTGTTCAAGAAACATATCTAAAAAGCTACCCGTCACCAGTGAATTTAGATTGGCTCGCCAAGAATGGAGAGGTCAAGAAGGAAATGTAGACTTTCAAACATGTTGGTGTTGAACACCAAAAGAACACTCAGGTGGGTTGAGGGACTAAGTAACACTTTCCGTCAACTAGCAACAGTACAATAGTCGCAGCCATCTCTTTTGGAATCACACCCCACAGTAAAAAAACTAAAGAAAGACACGGAAAGGGGGCCAGGAAAGAAAAAAGGATATGTTGAAAATTTAAAAGATTGGACGATTAAAAGAAAGAACGACTTGACTATAAAACGACATTACTTCATACAATTATGACCAAGTGGCTACGTCAATTCCAGAGATAAGAAAGCAATCTCATCACGAGTAAAAACGAGTGAGTGAGCAGAAACATTGTTGTCAGCTTTGTTTATGGTGAATGATTCTATTATCTTTACTGAACCTGCTGGTGGTTCTCTCCTACGATGCTGGTTCAATAAAAACATAGAATGCAATTATTGCACACACAGGAATGAACAATGACAGGGTGATTACGAGTCGGCTGAGAACCGCGAAAATTCCAAATGAATTTCCTGAAGTCGTTGGCTGACGCACCTTCCCGTTTCCCCAATGTATTGGTCCTCGCAACCTAATGGGACGAATTTGTTTGCGTGCTCAACAGAAGAAACTAATCATTCCACGACAAAGAAGGCGATCCTACGGGGAGCTCGGCACTACTTTCCTACAATCTCGTTACATGAGAGAGCAACACACTTTCTTTACGAGCGCAAGTCAGCGCTTTTTAGGATGGATGCTCAGGCGAGTTGGGTATTCATCATGTAGGAACTAGCGCAAAATTAAACTCATGCACACTGGAAAAAAGATCACTCACATCGTGCTAACTTAGTGATCCTTTTTCCGGTGTGCGTGTATTTTCAGTGTCAGTGAGTTTAATTCTGCGCTATTTCCTACAAGTCTGCACTGTACGGCAACTGCTCCTGCGTTGCCAGTCACTAGCACACACAACAATGACGTCACGCCGCTCCGGCGGCGCTGCTATCGGAACGAAGCATGCGCAGACGCATCACCTCACGCGAATCTGGTTTTGCGCATGCGCAGTACCCACCTGTAATATGGGCGAACGCGGGATTGTTTGTAAACAGCGCGTTGGCCAGCAACTGGTAGAAGTCCCAAGGTCAGCTTTCAAAAAGCACCGCGCGTACACGAATCCGTTATTTCTCTTGGGACGGAAAGCTATATACAGCACTCATCGAAGGCAACCGGTGTGCGAAGGCAGCGTCTGGCCGCGCAATGAACCAAAACATGCTCTCGCAAGCATTTCTTCTGCCTGCAGCACCAAGAGAATGCCCGAGCATGCAGTAAAACAACGTGCAAACAAAACAACGTGCAAGTGGAAGACACCAGTGTATGCGTACCGCTCACGCCGAATCTAGAACCGATCGTCTTCCAGATCTCCTCCTTGAAATCATTGTCCTTATATCTCTCATGTCGCTTGTCATAGAGTACAGGGTACTTTTTTACAGCGTCTATCAGTACGTCCCCTGGCATCCATCCGGTAGGGGCAGAAATAACCAGGGGCGAGGACGCCATTTGCAACGCCGGCGGAATGTGACGCGTGTTCTGATTGGCCAGATTGGCTGCGGCGGCGCCGGCGACGCGGAAATCTTTTCCGCGCGGGAAAATCTAGATAAATTTGGACCACCGCCGATAAGCAGATTTCACCGTGAATTCGGAAGTGTGAACGAGCCATAAAACTTCAAGTACGCACCCAAAGTTGTAGTGTTTGGAAAATAAAAACGTTATTTTGTCTAAAATTCACTTCGTCTACAAAAAGTGTTCGAAGCGTTTTCACAAAACGCAGCTGGCAACACTTAGCTGCCGATGTGGCTAGGTGGCGCAAGCTACCGCCCGTTGTACAGCCGTACAGCCTTTTGCATCAAAACTCTAATTAGCATCCATCCGTCCGGTCGGCCAAGATGGCAGCTCCCATGCAGCAGCAGGGTTTGACAGCGGGAGCCACGGGTCCGCCTGCACCTCCGGGCATGGCTCAGCATTCGGGCCCTCCGCAGGGAAGTCATCCTGCACAGAATCCGGCAGCGAGCGAAATAAAGTTCGACAATGTAGCCAAAGTCAAAGCCTTGGTGTGGTCGCTCAAAGACGCCTTGTCGGTGAGTCAACATCGATCGAGTCCGACTAACGTTGGGTGCTCGTCTCTACGCTGTAGTGCTGTAGTTCTGAAACTGGCTTCCTCGGAACACTTAGGTTCTCGACGGCCGCCGATGATTGTTCGCAACTTAGGGATTGATGCTGCTACTCTGTGACCCACCGAGATCTACAGCGTCGGCCGGGATTTTCTTTTTGGATCTTAGTACACGAACAGTAACGCACAAAATTGACGCTGCAGTTTTATTAGACATTCAATATAGTCTAAGTGCGTTAGCTAAACTAAAAACTATCGCAAAAAAAAAAAAAAAGAAGGAGGAAGAACACATGCCAGCAGAAATGACTGTTTCGAGTGACTAAAGCTAGCTCGTTTGTTAGACTACCATTTATCGAAATAGGGAGTTTGGACACTGCACCTCCGTTCCGATTCTGCGTTGAGCTGCGACCTATGCTTTGCTTTCTTTGGCGCCATCGCAGAAAATCCCTTTTTTTTAAGTTTTTGAATTGCAGTTGATAATTTTGAAAATACTGTCATAAGCCAAAACAATCCCGCCTTCCTCCCTGACGTGTGTATTATATGTTGCAAAGTTTACAAATCTTAGGGAACTTTGAAAATATTTAATTGTAGAAACAGAGTTCCAGAGGGCCCAGGGGAAAAGTGGGGTGTAATCAGCTGTCTCGCGTTCTGGCTAACGTCTCGACCAATCTGACAACTCCTATTCTATGCTCTTCGATTCTCGCTCACCTATATCACACTCTTTTGCAGAGCCTCGTGCGTGTGGCGGCCACCAACATCTATCATACAGCTGCAGTGGACAACGGAGTGTATGTATATGAAAACCATAGTTCCACGCAGAATTCTTTCCGAATTCCATCAGTCTTACCAATGACCAACCTGTCAAATGGAAAGGAACTTTCATTACCTTGTCATCTTTGAAGCACGGGCCTGGGAACCATTTGGCGAGCCATGTTCTCTCTCCCTTCTACATTGGTTGTCGTTGGAAACCCTACTTCCTTTCCAGTATGGTTTATGCGGGGGCCCTTTTCACACGCGTCACTTATTTACTTGTTTTCAAATTGTGACCAGCAGTAAATAGCCTTGTAGAGGTCATTCGGTCCGAAATATTGCTGCTGAAGATGAATGTTGCCCGTCGGCACGAGAAAATAAGCGGACTGTTTTCACCCAAGCTCGGAGCCGGACACAGCACCTCTTTTATCCTCAACATTAAACGTGATAAACAAAAACAAAAAAAAAAATATATTGATCTTGCTGAGTGTAGCTTACAGGTGACTGGGGACGGGGCACGAGACAGCTTGTGCCGTCTTGCTGCTTGCGCAGAGTCATGGTGCGATTGTCCTCCATCCAAAAATATTCCAGGTTTCAAGCATAGTGACAGGGTAACGAAACTGGCCAGCGAGATCGGTCTATCGTTGACCCAAACGTGACAATCAACTCCGAACACCTGCCATCTAGGGTGTGGGTTCCTAGTAACTCAATGGTTCCTCAGAGTACCCCCGTGGGTTCTCGGAGCTCCCAAGTTTCCTTGACCGTCCTTTCCCCTTACAGGAAGTTTTTCTAGTTTAAGCACAAGTTGGCCCGAGCCACCCATTCACCCATAGCTATGAAGCAAATGCTCTTGAGTGTGTGCATTATTGTTTACGAGGTTCGTAAGCTCCTGCGCCGCTTTAGTGGATCGATACCGAGATTAAACCGTTCGAAGACCCCGAGCCTAGGGGAACGTCCTTGACAGCCCAAGGCACAGCATTGGCTCGGCTTTTTAGGCGAGCTTATGGGAAGCACGTCTCCTGCTTTCCCGTCCTCCACATCTGCATCCTCTGTTCGTCGGCTCTGCCTCGTTGTGTCCGCCGCCGCCGTCTCCCTCCGACAGGCTGCAAGCACCTTGCTTGCCCTGCCAGCTTGGCGAGTAGATGTTGCCAACTCCACTGCAGTCTCAGTCGTGGCAGGTAGCGTTGTTCGACAGCTGTGACCGTCGACGTTCCAGTGAGGCACGGTTGCGTGCCGCCACAACACGACATGGGGCGTAGCGCATCGGGCTATGTCGAGGCACGACGCACCACGCTGCTTTCAAGGAGGCATGCCGCCGACCAACCAGGGCCTCGTCACTACGGCAGCAGGAATCTGATCTTTGCTCGGTGGGTCGGCTCCGGGGACGACTCCGCATCTGTCCCGCAGCTGGCCGCCATTTCCCCGGAGCCCGAGATCACTCGCTTTGATCCACGATCGAGCCTGCGCCACTCTGGAGCCGCAACACAACCAGATTGACGTACTTGCCGTCTGCTCTCTCGTGGCTCGATCTCACCTCGGTCTTGGCTGTACCCTGCATGGCTCCTCCCACACCTTTGGCACCCACCGTGCTCTATCGTGTTGTGCTCGGGACGCGAGCCGATGGCAGCGACGTCGCTACCGTTCCTCGTTGACATTGAAGCTCCACTGTACGCTGAGAGTGTCGGCACTCTGTATCTTGGCTATCTTCTGAGCACCGCCAGTTTGGTGCTTGGTGCGGAGCAGGCGCAATTGGGAGAGTTACAATTTAAAAATGCACCTTCCCGAGCCTTAGATGCGGTGTCTATTGTTTTGCTTTGTTGCCAACGGTTTTCACATTTCTGGACAACGGAGCAGCGTTTTCTGGGATTTCAGATAAAGCTTCGGTTAACGGGCAACCATGGCTGTGTTCCAAATCTTACCCACATGGATCCGAGTTACTCCGGCGGGTCATGTCACGTGACAGCGCAGACTGAGAAATGCTAGACGCTGGTAGGTTTTAGAATGCCAAGGTGCAAAACTCTTACTCTGGAGTACGATGGAGTAAATTTTGGAACACTGCCCGGGAGTTTGAGTGCCAAGATGCTCATTGGCTAGTCTAACGACATTTGCTAGTCTAGCCTCTAGCCATTGTAGATCCAGCCCCACTCAGATACCCCAGCACAAAGGGGTAATCCCTAAATCCAGTCCAGTTCAAATGATGGCCTAAGTGTTACTACTCTAAAGCTTGGATTCCGTGTTTTTGGAGTTCATTCCTCATGAAATCCGGACAATGTTTTTCCGAGTTTATTGTTTGCCCAATGGTTCGGAGTATATCGCAGCTTCTTTCTCATGAAATTCGGAGGTTGTTTTTTGGAGTTCATTATTGGCTGAATATTGGGAGTTTATTTTTGTTAGATTCCCAATTCTTCATAGTAGGGAGTTTATTTTTGCTATGTTTCCAAATTTTTAAGATTGAAAATAAAAATATATATTAACCGACAGGCATCGCCCTGCCCTAGATTTATAAGAAAGCATGTGTACCACTGAACATTGGCACCCTTCCCATTAGTAATACTCACTGTCCCATGACACAACTTGAAAAAGACAGATTAAAATCTTTGAACTCCTTGATGTAGTCGTTGGATAACTTGTTTTCTTTTCATCCTCTTCTCCCGCCTCTCCCTGCGGCTGCACAGGTTGGAGACAGCAGATAGAAGCCTCAGCTGTCCCTCTTACGAAATCAGTTCATAGCTTTCGCGGTTATCAAATCACAACCCTACCCTCGTCCTAGAGGTTTGGCCTGGAAGCCAGAGGTGCTATGTTGCGCTTTTCGCACTCCCAGGAGACTTGGAAGAAGGAAGTGACGTCAACGACTAGAGCAAACGCAGATTGGATGTTGACAGAAGAAAACAAAATCAACATCCAATCTGCATTTGCTGCGTTGTTGACCTCACTTCCTTCTCCCTAGTCTCCTGGGAGTGCAAAAAGCGCAACATAGTCCCCCAGAACAGTGGTTCATATCGTGACCAAGAATCCGTTTTCCTGAACAAACCCTGACAAAATAAACGTTGAACCTTCTTTGGCCAATACTACGAGACTTTGAAGGAAGCTGGTGAGGCCTGTCCCAGTGACCGCTGAAGCTGTGCTCTGACCAAACTTATTTGTAGAAAACTGCTTCTTTTTTTTCTTTCTTTCTGGCTGTTGCGACCTCCAAATTCCAAGTTTTTCGGAAAAATCGAATTGAAGAAAATTTTGCTGGTGAGCGTTCTTCAGATTGTATTGAATTTATCCAAAAACACGGAACCCTGTTTATATCTAGCAACTCTGGTTGGCTGGACCTTGACGACACCAGAAAGTAAATGGTGCATTCTCGTCCAAGCTCGGAGCCAGTTGCACCATTCTCGCGTCTTCGACATCGAGGGCACTAACGCCTCTTCTTTTCTTGAACTGTTTCACTGCTAGATTATGGACATTAAATTGGAATGATCACGAAAGGAGACAAGGACTCTTTTCATTTTGTGCCATTCGTCGTGTGCTATGTCTGCAAAGGAGTGAGGGGATAGGTTTGGGATGATTATAAGGAGGGAATCCTCCAAAAAATGTTCTTATTATGTCAACCGTGTGCCTGATGTTTTTTTGTATTTTTTGCGGCTGCTTCTTCTGCAGGCGGTCTAATTCATCGGACGAATCGGCCCCTCCGCGCTTGGACAAGTCTCTTGAAGATTTCTTCTCGATATGCAACCAAATCGAACTGAATCTTGTAAGTGAAGTTTATGCACCTCCATTGAAATACAGGGTCAGCACTATGGGGCAGTTAGCCTTGAATTGTGTTGTGCAGCACCAATACGAAGGAAAGTGCCACCTTTTCACGCTTATCACATTATCCTTTATACATGACAAAATCAACAGCTTTCTTTTCGTCTTTAAAAATGGTCACTTGCATCATCCTCAGCAGCAGCCTACACCTTTCTACAATCTGCCCAAAATTGGAGGACAATGAGAAAATATTTGTTTTAAATATGGATTTTAAGCATTAGCATGTGTTCCACATGATTGCCATTCTTTTAACCAGTGGTATGGAAATACTCTTTTTTAATCTCTAAAGCTATATTTGTGTACAATTCTATATATGAGATTATTGGAGGACAATGGGAAAATATTTGTTTTAAATATAGATTTTAAGCATGAGCATGTGTTCCACATGATTGCCATTTTTTTAACCAGTAGTATGGAAATATTCCTTTTTAATCTCCAAAGCTATGTTTGTGTATAATTCTATATATGAGAATCAAGATGTAGTTGTACACTTAGCAACATTGAAGACACAACATACTAGTTGTGCAACTGAGAGAAGTGGACGTTAATGCAAGTATACCTGTATGCCCCTTAAGCACACGGGCAAGTGGATGCTGGCCCAAGTTCCAACAAAGCTTCAGGAGTGCGTAATCGCAGGGCTAACTTAGCCCGAAAAATGTAGCGACAAACTTCAAGCAAATGTTTCTGGCATCCGATGCGAGTTGGATTGCCAAAACCTGGAGACCGCTGCAGATGTCAGGTGCTGACTTGACAACTCCTGTGCCGAGCGCTAATTCATCTGCTACTTTTGCTGGGGTTGTGGTGATGTCAGAACGCCGAGCTCTGATTGGCTCTGATTGAAGGATAGTGGGCGGACCTCAAAGCAAGTTGCCACACGCTCCACATTGAAAGCGTGCGACAGACAGGGGTGTCACGGTCAGGTTCCTAGGAGGAGCATTTCAGATAAACATCGTGTATAGGTATAGCAGCCTACCTGGTGTCTAATCAATGTCGGCTTACCAGAGCGCAGCGCTATACAAAACGTTTGGAGCCGTGGTCAGTGCTGACTTTTTACGTAACACCTGGAAATTGAGAACGGAGGTCCCCTCCATGCGCCAGTGAAAACAGCTGTGATTATCTCAATCCCAGTATGTTTATACTTGATTGGCTTGTGAGCGAAGAGCAATCCGATAACAAGAGGAGTAAAGACATTTGTCGTGTAGATGTTATCAATTAGAGGCACTGATGAATGTCGTCCCGCAGCAAGTTCTGGCCCGTCAAACGCACAAAAACGGTTCGTAAAGATGCATTCCAGCGGAGACGAACGAAATACATGGCAGTGCATTGCAGTCATTGCCGCCTACAATCTTGGGACGTACAATTGTACCCTAGCTGAGAGCAGCTCCTGCAGGTCGAACAACACAAAAACAAGTACAGAGCAATGCTGCACACGGGCAAGTTTTTTAATGTCAAGTTGCAAAACCTTTACCTTTTAGCAAGGTCGAGAACCACAACTGCCGAAAGGCGCAGACGCTGCGAGTGCATTAGAAGAGGTCAGAGCAAGCAGCACTTTACGATGCGACACTGGCAACCAGCTGCCAAGGCGGCGCAGCACCCCCTTCAGGCATTGCATGCTCCCAATTGCCCGTTCCTTTATTCTTTCACAGCGAACAATCCAAGAGTGCGCACTGCAGCTGAGAGACAGCCACCAGTACCTTCCCGTTCCCGTGGTCGCCACCAAGCCAGAGCCTAGTACCGCTCAGGACGGGACGCTTTCGTACAGCCAGTACATCAACACCATTCGTGCGCAGGTCAGCTTTGCGAAGGCGGTGCAGGACGTTCTGAACGAGGGGGCTCGCAAGATCAATCAAGACTGATCCCACCCACCCGGGCCATAATTTTGTGCATCACCCAGATTATGTCGAATTTGTGTTTATGCTCTGTGCATGGAGTTGCAGCTAGCCTTACCTTGAAGTGGTCGGTATCCCTTGAAACTTGCAAGACTGTCTCACAGGTGATTTTGACGAACATCTTGGCATTTGACGATTGCTGCAACTTGGCAGGGCTAACTCGTTGAGCTTGCATCACCTTTTTCTTTTTTGGCCTAGTAGGCTCAGATTTACGCACTACATCTTATTACACTCAAGTCTGCTTCCATTTCAACTGAAAACTCCAATGGTAGCTTGAGCAGCTTCTTTGCCATTGAATTTGTGGGGTATCAATTGGTGTTAGTGTTACATGGGGGGGGGGGGGGGATTGGTGGGTTTATCTAGGCTGTTTCTAACAGGAAGTGCTTTGAACTTTAATGTAGCATCATTGTCATCCTTGTAATTGTACCTACTTTTTCATTCCTGGGTTTCAAGGAAACAAGGAAAGTATGAATCTCTGCATGGAGTCTTCTGGTGTAGAGCATGCATCTTGTGCTGGTCTTGTAGTTTCTGTGTGTTTACTGAACGCCTGTGCCTATATTAAAACCAAATGAAGCCGAGTAGGAATATCTTTTTACTAGTAAATCAAATGCGAGCAGCTTTATGCGTTACAACACAGTCCACAACAAGAGTGTGTCAGCTATCAAGAACTGTTCAAACATTATTGATTCATTGAACAACTGCACACTATGTATGCTTTACTTAAGCATGCAACATTTTTTAGCTATGTTAAAATATCTTCTCACCTGTTTCTACGCAAATTTCTATCATGCTGTCAAAACGCCACCCCTAATTTTTAGCTACAGAGTTGCACATCGCCACGTGCTCCGTTTTGTTTGTCTTGTTCTCCATATGCAGTGTCACCTTCCTTTTTGGCTGCACCCGTTGAGGCTTATTCATACACTTCTAACCGAATACGACTGAGAGAGACAAGACCGGTTTTTAAGCCTCTTCCGACGTCTTGGGACCGGATGCGATGCTGCGGAGCTGGTCCCAACACGTCGTAAGAGGCTTAAAAACCGGTCTTGTCTCTCTCGGTCGTACTCGGTTACAAGTGTGTGAACGAGCCTTTATCGTTTATTTCTGTTGGCAGGCCCCCAAGATATAAAGTAGAATGTTTTCGAAGGTTCCGGGCATACTCTTACAATTCTCTAAAGTACCATGACTGTGCACACTACCTAGAGCCAGGCTGCACACAGTGGCATTTGATTCGCCAACCGTGCTTGTCAGCCTTGCTGCTTCGAGCTGCTTTTCTTTGTGGGCACAAGCTCGCCCAATAAGCAGTTTCTTCGTTGAATCGTCTTGTCACTTAACGCGTGCTATTACCTCCGTGCAGCATCTGGTGGAGGTAAAGGCACGCGTGAAGCGACAGGAAGAAGATTCAACAAAGAAACTGTTTGCTGAGCAAACTTTTGCCCACAAAGAAAAGTAACTTGAAGCAGCAAGGCTGATGAGCACAGTTTGTGGTCAATGAATTAAATGCTGCTATGTGCAGCCTGGTTTTACATATGCACAGTCATGATTCATTCAAGAATTGTTAGTGTACGCCCGCCACCTTTGAGAACATTCCACTTTATGCATGATGATCAGCCAACAGCAATAAGTGATAAGACACTAGCTAGTGCTAGAAAAAAAAATAGAAAGGCCTTTGAAAAGAGAAGATGACAATGCATATGGGCACCAACCCAAGCAAAACCGAGCATGTGGCAATATACTTGCCATGAAAAACGAGAAAATTCCTTCAGAGTGGTGACTGCCACTGTGGGAGAACGCAATATTAGACGCTCCAAAAATCGTGTTTCATTTCTTGCAGCTTTATTAAAGTTTTTTTTTCTAAATCAACCCTTTTTGTGTGGTATGGTGGTCATAAAGTCATGCTATATGTGAATTTTCCTTTTTGTTGTAATGAAAATGGGCCACAAAGTACTCCTCAAGTATTCCGAGTTCTATGCCATCAGTGCGTGTGACAGATGAAAGAAAGGATTTGCATATAGAAGCCAGATTTGACAAATATTCTCTTTTTTTCTGGCTGTGTTCTATGTTGCATACATGTAAAAATCTAGGCATTCATAAATACTTTGTCAGTGGCCTTCTAAGTGTAATCAAGTTCGAAGGAATCAGTCTACCGTATGGAAATCTGAAGTTTTTGTGCAAGTGAACAATCACCGCACTGATTTGGTTGTGTTCTGAGCATGTTGTATACAGCTTGTGAAGCAGACCAAAATTTGAAAATATTTGCTGCTTATTCCTCATCAATAAAAAGCTTTTTTATCACATTTTTGCACTTGCAGATGCTGTAGATTGTTGGGGGGCCAAAGAGTTGCTGCAAAGTCACCACAAACGAAGGTTGCAAATATTGCTTTTTCAAATTTATTCCTACACAAGGCATGGACAGGCAATCCATCATTTTACAAACTAATGTAACATCGAGAGATGGCCCAACTAAAATCGAGAGCAAATTGGATGAAAATAAGGGGTGGGCAAACTTTTGGCATACAATCGAGAAAAGATGAAAAAAAACACTATTTTTAGATAATGTTTTCTTGTCGGGCTTGTTATTGCGGCGAGGGTCAGTAAAGCAAGGATGACTACTTCCCACCCGTACGAAAGTGTCCGATACAGGCCGCAATGGAAAATGCTGGTTCTGCCTGGATCTAAAATTGGGGCACCAGTTTGTATCCCGCCTGGAACCGCGCAGTTCCAGTTGGGATACAAAGTAATGCCCCGATTTCAGACCCAGGCGGAACTGCCTGGTTCCAGTAGGTTCCAGTGGCTTCGTCGCGCTACACTCTACTAGAACCCCTCGGCTCCGGCATGCCGGTAGGGTGTAACCCCCGGCCCCCAACGCCGCGGGAGAGTATCACGTGATCTCCCCATTTGGGGGGGGGGGGGGGAAGGGAAAGGGAAAGCATCTCATCGCGGTGGCAGCCACTGATATCAATGACAATTGCAAGATGGCAAATCTTGCATGGTAAATGTTTTCGTTTTGTTAGCGTTTTGCTGCGGTTTTCCAGCGTTTTCGACTAGTTCGTCGTCATTCGCCAAAGACGTTCTGTAAGATCCTGGGCGAGGCGTGATACTTGCCGTTGAGAACAGGGAAATTTTTTTGTAAGCGCAGTGCCGCAGGAAAAAGGCGCAACTCGTCGAAAGCAAGTTTCGTCAGTCTAGCGGCGTGTTCAAAGCTTCCTTGGCACACCGAAGTGCCGTGTCTCTGCCTTGGCACGCTTGGATACCGACCAAGAATCGACACCGTGTGGATGTGTTTTGCAAGGGTAATGTGTGTGAAGCCGTATCTAAAGGTACAACTCGTTGAAAGCAAGTGTCGCGCTGCCGCGCGGCGGTTTCCATAGCGACAGCCCAGGACGCTGTGACGTGAACTTATGCCAAGCTGCCACGTACGCCACAGTGTCCGCGCAAATTGCCATAGAAACTGCCGCGCGGCACCCGTTTCTGTCGTTCCCCTCCCCACGTGTCCCTTGCTTTAATCACACTCCATCAAGCAGGCGCAGGGCCGGTGGCGTTCGCTAGGGCCACTGTGGTTTGTTTGTAAACATCAGTCTGTCTATATAATCACTCACTAGGAGTACAGCAGTGCAGGCACGGCAGGCTACTTGCATGCCGCATTATAGGCAAAAGACTGACAAATTTACGCGGGTTTATTCAAGGACAACATCGAGTACGGTTAACACTGCAGATATAAAAGCTGGGGAGAAACAATGAGACATATACATATAGTACATAAAAAAAAGATGCCAATGCAATGATTTAAAGTCAAAGACATGAGATTCTGCGAAAATGTCAGGAAAGAAAAAATGAAGAGGGCAAAGAAATTATGAGTAAAACAAAAGGCAGCCGTTCAGCAGTCATGCTAAGGCTTGCAACCGTGGCAAGAAGAAAAAAAAAAATGCTGACCCTCGTAAGGCGGGGCGAACAAACGACATGCACTGCGCTAGTGACCGCACCTCCAGTATAGTTAAGGTAAAACCGAAATGCAGGTTCTTTTTAGGCAGGTAGCCTAAAAACCAAACATTTCTTGTGACGCGTAGGTGACGTAAAGGAATCCGTCTTCGTCGTGGCACTCGGCGTAGACCTCGGACAAAGTCTTTGAGAGGTTGGCCATGCTGCGGTTGTTGACCAGAAGGTAGAATGAGTGGCAGGCACTGATTTGCAGGCGGTTCCTGAAGGAAAGAGGTGTGTTGGTATTGGTGACTTATAGCCGTAGAAGGAGCTGTACCAGAAACGTCGTTTTACTGCTCGATGCCCATCTAATATGGCACAACAAGCTTATAGTTGGCGACAGGTTAAGAATGCAGTACAAGGTCTGCCTCCACCATGTGCTTGTTGCCTTCTATCAGGCTTCGGCTCTCATTATTGTTTTCAAAAGCAGGAAGTCTTCGAAAACAGCTTGTACTGGAAAGAGAGCATACTTCATTCTCATCCAGTCACCGCAGAGAGGGTAAAAGAGAAAAAAAATGCACTCCCCCTCTCACCCCGCATGCCGTCCGCTCCGCCGAGTGAGCTGTAGTTAGCGTCCGGCCGGCGTGCAAACTCTGTTTAAAATCGCGTCATTTTGGAACTTTCAAGCGCAGATGCGCAGATTTTGGTATGCCAGTTGTCGTGTAATATTATGATAGATAAAAAGACTCACAGGGTCCAATTGCGCTGTTATCTGCATGCAAATAAAAAAAAAAGAATAGGGAAAACTGTGTCAGATTGGCCGGTCTCTTTGGCGAAAAGTAAATCCGGTTGCTGTACCTTTTTTTACTATACAAAGTTCGTACTGGTGTAGGCCTTTAGCGACCATGAGTGGAAGCCTGAAATAATAAATAAAACGTGCTCTCCTGCCGCAATACACGCAGTAGTTGAGGGTAGTACTGCCGGATGACTCAACTGCTATTTAAGGAACGGAAAAAACGATATGCTAGCTGATCATTTAGCGAAATAGAACAACAGAGAGCTATAGGCTGATTTTGGAGTAGCCACAACTATTCTAAGAACGCGAACCACTTCACAACGGCAGTCACGAGCGAGAGTTCGATGTTCGGTAGAGCCCGCCGATACAGCCCAAAGATGGAGAACGGCAACCTCCCGGTTTGTCGTCTGCTAGCGGAGTCTGGCGCGTGCCCTCTCTCTCGTTTTACCCCGCCGAACCCGCTGAACTTCCCGGATGTGTGGAGAGGGCGCTGCGTCGGACAAAATGGTGCCGCCCAGAGAGCGCTAAATGTTGTGTCGGGCAAATTGAGGTTCGGCACGAGAACAAATTTCCCATTGCAGCTGAGGGAGAGGAGGAGAGAGGAGAGGAGAGAATAGAGGAGTCGTTGCGTATTAAGAAAAAAACAAGAGAGGGTAGACCCCCCCCCTTTAGGGGTTGTGTAGGGAAATCACTGCTCACATCGAATCTGACCTAAAATAGTGCATACCCATGTAAACATTTTCATATACAGGATAAACTGGCATAGCCTGGCTATTGAGGCATGTTCTTGACAAGATGTCGGTCAATTCAATATTATCACCCATGTTAATTAATGTTTTTTTTAATGAAATTAAGGAAAGTAGTATTTCATGCTCCGCTCGAGGTGGCAGCTACTTGGTCACTTTCTGACGGTAGTCATTAGTTCCGCCACGCGCCCCTGTGTACTTTGTATTTGTCCAGCATAAAGACACAAAATTGCTGGTCATCACATATGACACAATAACAGACTTCTATATGTTTGAAATTTTATTTATGTGTCAGGAACACATTAAATCAGCCTCAAGATCAAAACTATGATTACGGCTCCCTTATATCACTGATACAGTTGCCTATCGAGATAACAACGCCGACTGGAAAAGCTCTGCACACCATCTTTCAGATAATTTGGGGGTGCATTTACCTACTTAATAGGGAGTTTTAGGAGATCGCTTTCAAAGGCCCGCTACCGCTGCGAGCGCGCGCTTCAGAGCATGCATCGAAGTGGCGGCGTGAGCTCCCGCTACGATTAACGTGGCCTGAAAACACGATCTACTAAAACTCTCTAATGATGGATATCGCTTAGGTGATCGGCCCTTTATTGTTGTTGTCAAATATTCAGTGAGTAGTTATTCGCACCAATCAATTTGACTGTATGACGTTCACATAACCGCTTGACACAGGAGGACGATACTCGAAAATACGCCAGCCGTTGAGCCGATCTGCGGAAACGTAATTTTTTGTTCTCTGTTTGGCAGTGTGAAACACAGGGCCGCGGGGTATGCCAAGAAGGACATTGTGCTCACATGATAGATTTGAAGGCACACACACGAGATGTTTAAAAGGGGAGAGATAATGAATGGTGGTCTTCAAAGGAATCCTATACACGAAGCAAAAACAAATACATAGAGATGTAATCATATTCTTAATTTCCCATAAATAGCGCGAAGGACAGACGAAGATTTTTAAGATCCTAAAATAAATCACATTTGGGCATCAACTTTCATTTAACTCGAATCTTCAGGAAATAATGCCTCGGCACCCTAATGTTATATTCAGTTCTGCGTGCACTTCCTTTGAACTCTCACTTTACAACTCTGTGCTATATGAGTCACGCGCTCCAACATTTTATTCGACTGCCATATATCCTCGGGAGCTATATAGTCTGCACAACTTTACAATTTTAACGTATATGCTTTTTCTAGTGTTGCGAACATCGAATTTCATCCGAAAACTTGACTGTTTAAAGGACACATGCAAAGGAAAAAAACATTTTTTTTTGAGACAGCTTAGATGGAAAAATGATGTCATAAAACGATTTTACAACAAAGAAACGGCTTTTTCAGGAGTTTCCTTCGGGCTCTAAAAGTTACATATTCGTCTTGGTTTTTTGTTATACTTCAAACAAAGATGAATAAGTTACTTTTAGAGGCCATAGGAAGCTTCCGAAAGAGCGCAAGCACCACGTGATAAACAAGGACCAGTCACGTGATAAATAAGGACCAGTCACGTGATAAATACGGACCACTTTTCCGCGGTGCCCGCGGGCGCCAACTACAAATTCGTTTTGCGCCGTAAATATAGCTCTAAAAAAATTTTTTCTTCGTTGTAAAACCGTTTTATGGCGTCCTTTTTCCATCTAAGCCGTTTAAAAAAAACGTTTTTTTCCTTTGCATGTGTCCTTTAGGATGGTTTGCACGTGACGTCACCACACTATATGCTGGTGGTCATTGCGATTTGTTCTCGCTAAGAAAATCAAATCCGGTGGTGAAAACTGCACGCTGCAGAAGGTTCACGCTCAGTGCAAGTCCCGTATTCCAGATACACAAATTATTTTTGCTTGGTGCAGCGTTGTGAGCAACGGCGCTATCGTATGGCACCACGAAACGCTCTTTCTGACAATATTATTTTTTTGCAAACAAAGTAGCTTTTGGAGCCACGCTTGTGCCACAGATGCGGGGCAGAGGAACTTTTTCAGTATACATTAACCATCCCCCCTCCCTCCCTCCCTCCTCTTTCTTTTTTTTTCGTTGCTTATTTATAGAAATTTTTTTCCCTTAGGAACTCCGTTATTTGTTTAGGGTGTTAATTCGACAATTATATTGGTCACTTGCTAACAGTAATTCTCATTCAGATGAAAGCACCTCAGAAAAAATGGTGATAATGAAGACAAGACAGCGCAGAGTCGCTGTCATCTGAAGCAACACGAACCAACTAGCCCAATTAGCCATTTTGTTGCAGTAATACTACATTGCTTTGCACCCAAAAAATGAACAAAATACGGAGGTAGTCGAAGCTTGGGGGAGAACTTGAGAGCGACATTCTTGTCAGACTTAGAGTGGCTGGCAATGGCTCTGTTGTCCGTCTGAGGCCACTGGGATCTTTCTTTTCTTTTATCCCTCCCGTACACAGTTATGTAGCGTCGGATTTATAAGACACGTTTTGTCCTTTCGATGTTTCTATTCTCGGGGACAATTTTCTAAAGCAGTTCAGCAACAACAAAAACCTCAATGATACGTGTAAAATGGGGCGTGCAACAGTTTGTGTACTTTCAGTAAATACCGCTAAGAACTAATCCCTGATGTTAATAGCTCGCAAAAACACCCGCTAGTTTTCCTCTCCGCGCAATGGCAGACGCAGAAAAAATAATGGAAAGAAACAGCTTTCCGCTCCTCGATTCGCAATTAGAAAAAGCGGCAACGTGATCTGACTCTAATTATATACCGTCAGTGTTCACCATAGTCATGCGCTGGGTTTGGCAAAGCATAGATGATGGACTGGGGGTCAGGTATTGTTAGAGTTCGGCTATTGCTATCTTTGAACACGAGCCATGACCCGAGTGCTTTTTAATGCTGATTGTCGTGAACCCGTGCACTCGACCCGGACTCATGACAATCGAGTACGTCACGGAGTCACGTGACTCGCGGTGCGAAGTCGTGACGTCATGTGACGTCACGGTGTCAACGATAATCTACTGGCGCCCTTAATTTAAATTAACTTGACGCAGTGAGTCCCGTGATGTCACTTCTTGATAGCATGACCTGACACCATGACGTCACGTGATCATGTGATTAATTATAGCGCCAATACAAAAGCGCCACGAAAACCCACGATTTCTCATACTGCAATATGGTGCATGGTACGATTTGATCAGTACATGGAAATACAGCTGCTAATTTTTATTCTTGAATATTCATTTTGTGGTATTAACAACAACAAAAACTACCGTGAGGTGTTTTGAACCGGTTACCGTTATATTTTTTCCGGCTCAGTTCAGGTTCAGTTACAAGTTGGTGGCGAAGATTTCGGTTCGGTTCAGTTGTTCGGCTAAAAATAAGGGTTCGGTTCAACACTATTGCATATTATCAGCATCATTTCTATCATTCTCATTAGCCAAAGTTCCAAATATGCCGAAGTTCCTATGCGCTTTGATTTATGCCTTGTGAGTTTTCTCTGTTCCAATTATTGTGTAATTTAATATTTAGATATTAAATTTAAAAATTAGTATATTTTCATCCACCTTAGATTATTCTTTTTACTGACTTTCAATTTGATATTTAAAAGTTGATCTAAAGTTTATTTCTGATTTATATTTACCTATGTATTTTCCGACCCCCGAGACAGCGACCAATCCTCGATCCGGCCCCTCAGCAAAATGTTTGGAGACCCCTGCACTAGAGCAATGCTGGGGTAACCTTAAAGTGCTGGTAGTGAGATGAAGTACTGATTTGTTTTCGTACATGAACTTCGCAAATAAATGTTTCGATGTATTTTAATTTTATAAACTTGTAGTTATGCATGTTCATTATACACCTTTTCCCCTTAATCTGCAACGGATTAAAAAGATTTTTTTTTTTTTTTAACGAGATATCGGTTCAAGATGTTAAGAGCAGACATAATGGCTTCCCGAAGGGGAGCTCCCGAATGCCGCGGCATGTCTACGACTGAATGTCATCTCTAGATATTGTTGTGGCGTACGCCAGTCGTTTGCTATCCAAAGCTGAGAGAGAAACTACACCATAACTGAGAAGGAGTGTCTAGCTGTAGTTTGAACCATCAAAAAATTTCGGGCATAGTTATACGGACAACGATGACGTTTGTGTGTGTGTGTGTGCGTGTGTGCGTGTGTGTGTGTGTTTTTACCGTTTATGGGATTTTGATATTGATGGTGGAATGATCATCAGGCTTCAGAAACGGCACCCTGCCACATGGACGCACCTTAGCGTCTTAAATCGAATTCTCACAAACAATTTCCGTGATCAAAAAAGCTTCCATGATCAAAAAAAACTTCCCGTGTTCGAAATATTTTCTCGTGATCAAAACGTCTTCCCGTGATCAAAACGTCTTCCCGTGATCAAAATCTCTTCCCGTGATCAATTATGCGGTGACGGTGTGTTGCATAAAACATCATTTGACCAAGAATTTGAAAGCTTTCAGGTTGCTCAATGAAAGTGCAAGTCTGAATGAGTGGCACTCCAAGGTTGCAGAGCTTCAATGGCAAGCTTATCAGCAAGATAAAAGATAAACACCCAAGTGGCTCCGACGTTCGGGAACTGGTTGGCGTGGTCGGTAACTGGTTGTTCGTTACGAAGCGTACAGGGTCCAAGGAGACTTATCAGCTTCCTAAGTGCTGGCCACGTTTAGAACACAGCCAGCACTTAACCATCCATTGACTATGTCAAACTGGCGTTTAACGCCTAATCTACGTCCTGTGTAAAGCTGTCTGCAGAGCTATGAACTGTCCCTGTATGTGATAACTTATCACATACAGGGACAGTTCATAGCTCTGCAGACAGCTTTACATAGGACGTTGCATACAATGCAGCATGCACGTGCTGCATTTCGTTGAATGCAGCACGTGCATTCAACGAAATCTGAAGTACCATGCATGCCTGGTACTTCAGATTAAATTAAATTAAAAAAAAATCAATTCAATCTGGCATTTTATTAAAATTTATGGACTGTGCAGAGAAATTTTTTTAGTTAAATTTTCGATTGACCGGCAAAGTTTTTCGAGCATACCCAGCGAGTTTCGAATTTGAACTATGTTTATTTGTAGAAGCCCAATTATTAAACGCTATGTACCTCAATAAATAGACCCATTGACAGTGACTAATACTGTACCTTCATGCGATGCGTAGTTTTTATTCGAAAAGTTTTGCCGATGTTTAGTCACTCAATCTCGGTGTTTATTTTCATGTTGGCCGTGTAAGCAGGTGGTATACTTTTCGACTTTACATATTTGTTAAAAATATCTCGTGACAGCTACACTAACGCAGTCTGTGCAGTTGAGTTCTACGGCCAAGAGGAACATAACGTAGGGAGCGAATCGCCACAATAAGTCGGCTAATAAACGAAAAATCGTTACGTTACTTTTTTTTATTTAGAAAACAAACATATGGTTCTAATTATAAACTTGCTGGACGTGATCGAAAACTACTAAATCAGTAAATTTGAGAACGATTTGGACCGCTTGAGAAGTACGATATAGTGCGCTGAAGTTGCCGCTCGTGTGACAGGCGCAAAGCTGGCGGCGCGAAAATGGGAATGACAAGATACGGAGAAAAAAAAAACACGCCGATGACACTTCAGACTGCTGAGGTGTAGGAATGCGAAAGCACTCCTACAAGCAGCGCGTCACGTCTTCCTTTTGCACACGGCGCTCCGGCGGTGACATCACGCTCCCCCCATTGTGCAGGCGCGGCGCCCCCTCCAGCTTCCGTGACGAAGCATCTGCGTTGCTGTGCTTTCCTTTGCCTTTTATTTCCGAGGCGCGTCCGCTTTGACCTTGAGCGGCGCGTGTTTGATGACGTGTTTTTATGACCATCTTTCGGGCACAACGCCGACGCCGCCTTTTCGCGTAATGGGACATATAGGGCTTTCGCCTTAAAAACCCTCGGACGCGTCTTCGTACACACATCCTTGCGCCTATTTTACGTGGTAACGTTTGCACACTAACGCTCTTTCGATACGCTCCGAGCCTTCCTAAATCGACCGATTTAGTCATTTTCAGTGGCGCTCGGCAAGTTTGTAAGTGCAACCGTATGTGTACATCTTAACTAATAAAAAAAATAATGAACAAATTTTAGTATATTAACCGATTTATCGTGACAGCTTCTTACGTTATGTCCTCGTGGTCGTATAACTCAAACGCACAAACCGGATTTTGTGTAGTTTTTACGGCTCTTCTTAGAAACAGTTAAGTTAAAAACAAAAGATAAAACTCGCATAAATACATTATGGAACGATGGAGGTTGCTATTTTAAGGTAATCATTCGAGGGGTAAGCTTGTTCCGTCTGCAACAACAAAGGTATGAACTAACCCGCTGCGGCGTGACGTCGAAGTTGAGCCTGTGAAGTCCAACATACCTGACAATGGACACAAACTGCGACATGGTGAGCTCCTGTGGCACCAGGAATTTGGTCTTGTCTAAAAGTGGCAGACTTTTTTCCCTGTTATACCTTTCCACGATCACCTGCGAAGGGCGCGCCAACTTAGAGAACCGATCGTTGTAAATGTTACGGAACGGAACGAATCTCCACGCTTACCGGTATCTTCGAAGGAAACCGTTGACGGATGCCAGCTACTTCCTCCTTCCGTACGGCTGAAAGTTAATGAAGAAAGATTTTGATTTGAGTCTTCGGAACAGGTTCAAATAGTATATGGCCTTGACCAACACATTGTAACCAAGGCCATGGTACTGGACTTATTACGTCATCGAGCGGAGGCCAGCACTAGCCACAGGTTGGACACGAGTACTTCGACAGCGTTCGCCCGTGGGACTTGTGTTCTGCAGGTTGAACGTGACTCACAACCGAGCTCCGTCGCAGCGCACTGTCCAATCTGTGCCTCGAGCTGGCCTCCGGTAGCTGACGTAAAAAAACTCAACACCGTAGAAGGAAGAAACACGCCTCAGGCAAGACGCGCAGCCATAACGCAACGGGATGAACCGCGAACGTGTGCCCTGCAAGAACGCGCCCTGTCAGAACCGTCGTCGAGTCTTCGTTCCGGCGTGGAGTCTTGCTCAACCAAATCGCGCACAACGCGTCGAAGTCAATGAAGGCCGTGTGCTGTTACTGTTAGGATGAAAGCCACGTCGCTTTTGGGTGCCTCCAGAACGCACTCGTTGCCTTCAGTGGACTTTGGCTGCGCGTGCGTGCAGGCTGCTCACGATACCCCTAAGTGTTACCGAAGCAAATCCAAGAGGAAGCTGGGGACGAGACAACCGGAAGACCTACAGACCTTTCAATTTCCAGAGGAGCGCTCTACAAACTGAGCTGGCCAGGAGTTAGACGTCTGCAGAGAGGAAGGGTTTTAACAGCTGCCACCAGTTTAACACAAACAGGGGTGAACGGCTTGATTTTAAGTTATGAAATACCGACGTCCAACTCCTGGTTACCTTAGTAGGTAGAGCGGTCCACTGGAAATGGAGAGGGTCCTTGGTTCGATACCAGGACCAGGCGGATTTTTTCGGTCGCTCACCGGTCACCTAACTATTTGGAGATTTGTGTTTTCCTTTGTTTCTTAGTCCCCCTTGTTCACTTTCTTGTTATTGTTATCCTTGTCCAGCTCGCGGGATTTTTGCATTGATTGCATTACCTTAATGACTGTACTGTTGATATGTTTTTGTATTGCTGTTTTGATTACTCTCTTCATCGAAGCAACAAACACGGATTTCAACACTATTCTGACATGAATCACATTGCACAAGTCTTTTTCGCGTAATAGCTTCTGGTTCCTTTTTTGGCACTCTTTCCAAAACACGGGGTCGGTAAACACTTGATTTCATATGCGTAACAAACTTGTGTCATCAGCCTGAGACTCACGAAATCGTCACAAGTTACAGAAGCTCAAATTCATGGTTATTCCTGTGTCCTGTCATCGCAGCAACATGGGCGGTCAAAGAGGTGGTAACCGATAAGATCACTTAATATGGCCACAAAGTCAACCGTTCTTATCGCAGACGACGCGATAGACCACGGGGGCCGGCGCGCACACTGCACGACGCTCTTAGCGCGAACACGACTACGAAGTTTTTTCGCCTTTTACTTCGAATGGGTAGTACTGGCGGGTATCAACACTTGCCACTTAGGTTAGTACCCGAAATTATCACTCTCCACAACTATAAAGTGAAAATTGCCCCCCCCCCCCCCCCCCCAAGTTGGTTCATAGTTAAATATATATAAAAAAAAGCGCCAAAATCGACTGGGACAAAGAGCGGAAACATTGTGTTTTTCTTCAATAAACTTCAGTTGCGAGTGCGCGTTCCCGCTCTTTGTCCCTGTCGTTTTTGAAACTTTTATATCTTTAAGTATAGTAGTTCTGTTTACAGTACTTCGGTACTGAGAGAAAGACAGTAAACCGGTGATCGGATTGCCGCTGGTAGGTGTAGATTGTTCCGCTGAGTCCGATAACGATACCCTCTTTGCCCAGCTTTCACAGCACGAGGTCTTCGCATGGCAGTGCAAGTTTATAACGCCGCTGTACAAGCTCATATTTCTACACCCTGTACCACAGATGGATGCAACGTATACAGCGAATGCAAGGTGAACTGCCTTTGGCACTTTGATCCTAGGTCGACGTAGAGCCAAACTTTATCGTTCAAACATTTGGCGCAAATATATAATACGCCTTCATTATATGAGCTAATCCTTTCTATGGAAGCTGAACATGCAGACGAACTTTAGCGCGTGCTATATTACGCATATTGAGCTTGTTCATGCAATATCGTTCTGATGCCTGAACTGTCCGTGCTTCAGCGAAATCTGCGCTATTTTGAAAATGAGGGGTATATTTTTTTGTACAAAACTGAAACGAAAGCCGAATGAAAATATTTCGAAAAACTAGCAGCTGTAGATAAGGAATTTAACGAAAGCAGGGCGGCTTGCTGACTTTGGGTATCTCACTAAGTTGTGCAAGAAGTCAATTAAACTTTTCGTAGATCGTACGCTGTAGCTTCGCGTTGCTAGTGGGGGAGTGCGTCGCTTTGAGCGTGGATCCAGATAACGCCAGTAGGGCCCTTCAATCCGCAGTGTACTTTTTTTTTTTTTTTTTACAACAAAACTAGAAGATTTTTTTTTTTTCTTTCTGAGGGGGGCCTGTTTTTCAGAAGTCTTTTGAATTATTCGTAGGTTACACAGATTGAACCATTCGAAGACGACGGGTCGAGTGCCATCAGAACAACCCAATGGCTGTGATCGCGAGTGTAAAGAAACGCGAAAGGCGATAACGGGATCGATAAGCCCATCGATCACGCGAAAGATCGATCGTAATAGTAAAAACAAAAACGTAACAGTTTTTTTTTTCTTGGCACTGGGAAGTTTTGATTAACCTTGTTTATATATTCTTCATTTATAGCACGCACAATTACAACTCGGAAATGCACTAACGCTCGAAAATTTATTGCTTTTACATGAACGCAATTGTGGAATTCTTATCTTGGCAGAGGGGCTAGCTGTGCCATTTGCTCTGCTTAACAAGTTTGATTATGGTATAGTTTTTTAATCGAATAGCGCAATGTCATCACTAGCTTCACCAATGCTAAGAGAACCTGTCGCTTTTCTTGGTAAGTCTACGAATGGTAGCTCGCGCTGCAGAACCCAGGATCCTGGGTTCAATCCGAACCCCTGCCCGTTTCGATCTGGATGAGCATCGTGCCGGCGTGCGGTCGTGTGTCACTACTGCGTGGTGCTCGTTAAAGACCCCAGGCTAGCGGTTGTACTGCACTGGCTAAATTGCTCATCAACAGCTGGGAGACTCGTCGCCCGTTGAGGCAGACCAAGTTCTAGGCTGTATAAACATACACACAACCCAATTTGTTTTTCTACGAACGGTACGCAAGGCCATTCGAATGGAAGTCTGGAACTACTCTTCGCACGCTCCTTGCGGACACCGATAATTGTTCGCGTTTTTTAAGGCTACCCAAGGTGGGAAATAATAATCATGATTTAAATCGTCATTTAAATCTCACCGATTTTGCTATAATGATTTAGATCCAAACCTTTCCCACAAAAATAATCCCAGAAATACTTTCTATTGACTTTTTGTCTATCACTTGGTACTTTCTACGCGCGCATGTTCTGTATTTAAATCAAAGCTTGATCCTCAAGCAAAAAAGATTTAAAGCAGGTTAACTGGTTGAACACAAACGACTCTTCTGTGCAAATCGGAGATTTTGGTGTTTCTTTCTTCTTTCGCGTCCCACTTTTTTGGGTAGTTACGCATGCAAATGAAAACGCGAAAGAAGCCAAAACACGAAAAGTAATATCTTATTGAAATAAATCGGAAAGCAAAAGAAAAATAAATAGCTTTTTGACTAACAAAAAAAAAAAAAAAAAGATATACGCCTCTTTTGTTCTACCGCGTGTCACCCAACGCTTTTTGATCTCACTTTGGAGGAGTCCGCCAAAATCGGTTTCTCAACGTATCGCGCTAAAATTTACTACAGAGGTGCAGAAAGTTTGTGCATTCATTAATTGAGAGTATCGATATACAAAACCTCTGGAGTCAAAAGAAAGAATATAAAAACTGGTTTTGTCTATGGAAACATTACCGCTAGCGCTTTTTTCTTTTTTCAAAATGATAAAAAAATTGATGCGAAATTAAAAAAAAATGGCTGACCTATTTTTCACTTTATTTGGCTCAAATAAGCGCCACAGTGACATTAAATATGATTTAAGTGTACATGCAAAGTATAGAGAAAAGATACTTTTTGATTTTTTCGTGATTTACTCGGGTGAGCCAATCCTTCCACAATTTTAGGGAAAACCTCCACCACCTTTGGGCATCTTTTGAGTAAATCCTAGCGCGATACGTTTAGAACCCGATTGGTTCGGATCGTCCAAAATGGGATAGAGGTGAGTAAGCTGGTGTATGGCGGGTTTACACAAGTAAACAGTTGTTCATTAAGCTGTACATAAAAAAGTTTAAATGTAGAGTAATCCTTTCTTCGGTATTGATCGATTAATCAATCAATTTGTAATGGTTAAAATACGCAAGAATCACTTTTTAGCTACGGTGATTTAAATCAAACTGACATGAATGAAATCAAACACATCTTTATTCAACTTTTTCGGAAACTTTTTTTCGTTTGTTGCTATTCTTTACTTTATCGTTCACTTAGCTTTGATGAGTACAGTGGCCCAATATTTTAATAATATGAAGCGAGCGTCCACGCCGGGACGGCCAGAGCCGTGCCGCGGAGGCGTGCGGCGACACGGGAGAGATTAGGGAGTTTTAGAATAGCGCACGCTAAAGCTTTGCGTACGCAAAGAATAGCGTCGTCGCCACTGCGCATGCTCCGAACGCAAGCCAGGCTTTGCGCTTTGCGTGCGCAATTTTAGCGTGCGCTATTTCTCGGAAATAGCGTGCGTACGCAAAGAGCCTTTGCGCTTCTCCAAGGAGGATTCGTGATGAGGAGTTGGCTAAAGCCAAGACGAGGAGAGTTAAAAAATGGCGGCTTCCAGGATTATGTCAGCGGCTGCTTTGGCGGCGTCGTGAGTACGACGTCGGCGGCATATTCGCGACTGCGATTTTCAATACGGGACGATATTGTACTCGGTTTGGCAACGATCTCCGGCAACTTGATGCTTGCGACGCGCGAACATTGCTCGGCGAAGGTACGATGTGCGAAGGTCAGTACACGAGACCTCTCTTGCCGAGGCGACGCAAGCGGACACGACCGGCCAACCGCTCGCGTCGCATTATCATGTTTAAACAAACCTAAAACAGTACTGTGAACAAAAAAACTTGTTTGTTTTTAAAGTTACAGCATTTCGTGTGTGAAATAAAAATTGTGACTATCTTGGTGGCGTCGCAAGCGCGAGCCGCTTGGGCTTTTGCGTCGCGACGGAGGAACGCTATTCTAAAACTGTCTTGCGTCGCCTGCGCTAATACAAGCGCTAAATTTAGCGCTAGCGTGTGCTAAAATTTCGTACGTTATTCTAAAACTTCCTAATAAGCGCGTACGCACAAAGCTTTTTCTGGTGGGAGCGTCGTCTGCTAGGCTATTCCATTGATCGCACACAGCCCCTGCTCCCTAGCGAAGGAGGGCAGGGCGCTTGCAACGTCGAACTGCATCGCCGATTAGCCCCTCCTCTTGGAATGCGATCACAATCCTATTGGCGTTAGCCTGTGTAAATCCGACTGTTGTTGCTATACCCCTTTGCGTCATGCCGCCCATCGACATTCTCACAACACGTCTCCGTGTTTTTATGGGCACTCAAGGAGGCAGAAAATTGTGCGCGCGCCCGCTGGTCAAAGAAAAGTGTGACCACCCGGCTACATAGGCTAGGTGACAATAGTAACAACGCAGTTGATAATACAAAGGAGAAAGTGAAAACCCTGATAGTCTGTTTCACTTTGTGTTGTACCGTAGCCGACGCTACGAACCATCTTGGCCAGTCCGTCGCTAAAAATGTGTCACGTGGCCTTCCCGTTGGGTACAACTGCACGGGGAAGCACGATGTCACGTGGCAGGGCGAAAGCACTAGATTCGTTTCGATGGCTGGCAGCATCTACGGTATATAGTTGATTGGAATGCATCGTTGCATTCAGTTTGTCGCGTCACCGTATTTTTCATTTTTGTTTGTTGTGACTGTACACAAAAGTAAACGCAACCATGAAATGAAAAAAAAAAAGTAATTTAAACTCGAGATGACCTGCAGTTTATGCCACGCTTGAGCAGTATCACACAAGCAATTAAGCGATGTTCAGATAATGAACAGGGGCTGTGTGCGGTCAACGGAATAGCCTAGCAGACGACGCTGGCACCAGAAAGAGCGTTGTACACACGCGCCTAATCTCTCCCGTGACGCCGCATTTCTCCGCGACACAGCGCTGGCCGTCCCGGCGGTCGACGCTCGCGTGATATTATTAAAAAATTGGGCCACTGTACATGCCATATCAGCAGGGATTGCGCTAGCTTGCATTAATAGCCGTGTTAACAATGAGCCTCACCTCATCGGCTGCGAATAGACCAATTTGTGACGTAAAAATAAATAATAATAATAAAGACAGCCTTAACAAAAACATGGTCGTGTAGAGCTATTTATTTCTTGCACGACTGTACATCATGGACTGGCGATTGCACTAATGCTCGTACAGCAAATCTGCCCTTTTTATTGTTCTCTTTTGAGGTGAAGAGACTCAGGGTAATCGTATACTTGTTTTTGATTCTCTGAACCTTCAGATTATACAGAAGCGCTCCAGTAGTTTTGCAAGTGGCTTCGAACTCGAGCCACTCTGAATAGCAAAGAAACGCGATAACGAAGGGGACAAAAAGCATTCGCTTACGTTAAAGCCCGCAAGGGTGGCAGTCGAGCCAAAAATAGCGAGCGAAAACAGAGACAACTAGAATGAACATGCTCTGGTTATCTAAAGACGTCGCAGACGCTTCGGAAGACTCCCGAGTTTCACCCCTAGATACAAGACACGCTCTTGTACGTGCTACAGCACGCGTCGAAGCTATCGCTAATCTGAAGACGGCGTCGCTAATCAATAGCGCACGTCAACAGGGTGATGAAACGCGAGTTTCATCAGCCTGCCTTGCGGATGGAATTTGCAACTGTCACGAGTTAATACTGTAACATTTCTATGAAACTGGATACGTATATAAGTAACTGAATGCGCGCATGGGGCTCCTGTCTCGACGCTTTCTGCCCAATAGGTTTTCCAGGGAAGACCTCCTGATCGTGGATTGAAAAAGTCCAATGTTGCGGATACACTTGCGGATTTGGGTAACCGTGAGGTGCGCTTATGCCGATTCTTATAAATTTTCAAGGCCATTGGTGTGCAGTTTTCAGGTGTATTCGGGACCTGGTTTCGGGCTATGGCAACAGTGTCTCTCGACTGCAGCACCTTAGGCTAGGTGTCGCAAGCTACCACCCGTTACAAAGGGTACAGCCAATAACATCCATCCATCCAGCCCCACCAGAATCCTCAAGCCGCTGTCACACCGCTAAAACATTACACAAAAGGCAGTCCGCAGACACTGTCTGTGGCCTGTTTCTTCCTTGCACATTGGTCTGTCACATTGGTCATACAAAAAAAATGTTCGCAAACTATGTTCGGAGCATACATGTATATGACGCAAGCATGCTTCGAACGATTTTAAATGTGTCCGCAGATAAATCTGTTGTCACGTCTCCACCAAACACTGTCTTGTATGATGTACGAGCAGTGCGAGTACGATTTAACACTTGTCAAAAGGTCAGGTCCGAGTTTCGCAGTCCGGTCGTGGTTTGCTCGAGGGCTGCCGTAGTCAAGAGCGTGCCAACGACGTGTCCCTGAATCCTCGGTGATCCACAGGTGCAACAGTTGTGCTCGAGTCTGCACCAATGTTCCGCGTTGATATGCACGCAGCCTTTGATATCCCAAACACCCAAAGAACAAAGAACCGTGGGCGGCGCAACACTAGAGTCGTATGGGAAGGCCCCCTGGAGCTTGCGTTTCGCGCCGGACGACGAAACGGTTGGAGGACGTCTGTATAGAACCATATGTATGCTGCCAGGGCTGCTGTAACGCTCATCGCTTTTGAAATGAGTGCCAGTTAACATTACTGGCATCCAGACGTCTATAAAACACGGAACGGTTTTAAGGGAAGCAGCAATCATGTCATAGAGAGACTGCCTGGAGCTTGCAATTTTTGTTGGAGCGTCCAGATGACATCCTGATGACATCCTCGACACCATGTGTGCTGCCACAGCTACTGTAACGTGCATCGCTTTTGAAACGGTGAACTAAAGAACATTCCTGACATCCAGACATCCACAAAACACAGACGGATTTGACAGCAACAATCAGGTAGAGGCGCGGCCTGGGAGCTTCGATATCGTCGGGCGACGATTAAAGCCGCAGCCAGCATCTCTGAAATTTGGAGTTCGAAAGCAAACGAAGGTGTCTAAAAATAGTTAGAGTGCAGGCGAGCTGGTGTAAGTTTAACATGATTGTGAACCTGAGACTGGGGCAGAAAAGAGAACATAACAGAAGGTAGAAAAAGAGGAGGCAACGTCTCAAGGTGTCTAGTTACCCAGACTCTTGCGTTCCTTGAAGCTCCTGCCCACGTCGTTGGGGTACATGATGGGACGATTCCTGGTGAGCCGGTCGCACTCGCAGAGGCAGGGCGTCGGAGGTGCTTCTTCCAGACCCCGGTACCAGGCCCAGATAGACATAGAAGCGCGGCCAGTCGCCTTTTCACGGCGGGGAACAATGGGCTGCACTGGGGTAGAAAGCGTCCCTTGCACCTTTCCAATTGACCGAGGCGAGACGACGTGGTTTCCGTGCCGGCGCGCTTGCTATCTAATCGCGGCGCGCTCGGGCAGATATGGTTCGCCTGTTTTTCGACGGGATTTTCGTCTCTTGTCTTTTCTTGTCTCCCTTGTCATCGTGCCACACCTCACGATGTTGTTTCCCGTTTGCTGACTGGACACATTTCCTGTTGTTGGGATTGGTCTGGGAGCCTGAGAAGCACGGTCGCTTCCGCGAGTTCCCATATGAGAACGCACCTTTAAAAACTGGTTCAGGAATTTGTGCTTTGTGTGCGACAGAATGACCCCCGCTTACGATGCTACTACGGGTTGTTATGGTAACCGACTGCCGCACAAAGCGTCGTACTGGGATGTAACTCAACGCAACGCTGTCAACGCGAATGTCTGATATAACTGGACGGCAGTCCATCGGAATTCTAAGCGCATAAAGTGACAAGCGTCTTTTCCTTTTTAAATTGAGCGCCGACGTCAAGAAAACAATTGGTCACGTCGCGTAGCAACATCATCACAGTGGCCTGGGACCAACGACGGCGACGAAGAAACATGCGCGATTGGAGGGCCACCGTGATCATCCAGAAATCTACAAAAAGGAGGAGCAGACAACAACCGCGGCTGCAGTCCAGCGGAATGCTAAGCGCACAAAGTGACAAACGTCTCTGCCTTTTTAGGTAAGAGTGAAGAAGCTTTATTTCTTCTAATTATTGGAGCTAGTATTTCGCTATACTGCACAATGCATTGAATATAAGATGCAAACCGAGAAAGAATATCCATCCTGCCTGAAGGAAATAACACGAAAGTGTATTTCGCTTGAATGCAGTGAGTGTATAGACGCCGGTATCACGTTAAAAATGCTCTGGTGTTGCGAAAAAAGGAAAAAGTATGACGCAGATGCAGACTATAGAGAAATCGAGGCATGGGAGTGTGCTATCTGCACAATTCACAAAAGGAGACCATCGGTTGATTTGAGTCCGAACACTGGTGATTCAGGAAAGGGATATTCTTTGGCAGCCCAAGTGACTGAAATGAACATAAAGCTCACCAGTCACCTGAACAGGATCAATCAACGGAAAAAAGCAATGAGCGTGTAAGGAGAAAAGTACGACAGCATATATAATGCTCAAATTGGAAGGGAGTGGGGGAAAAAAAGTCGATGTGATTGAGACGGCTCTCGACGTTGAGTAAGCCGAATCGTTGGGCGAGTTGGTACTGAAACTTGGAGAACATAATAGCGCTTCACGACAGGGACGAAGAGTAGGAACGAGACAACACAATGCGCTAACTTCAACTGGTTTAATCGTCAGAAAATCAAGGGTATAAATACTCTTCATCATCGCGCCATTCAGCCAATCCCATGCCACGCCACTGATCGTAAGAACTCTGTTTCTTTGTCGCTCAAATCGATCGACGCCACGCTGACACATCGATCCCCGTAGCTTTTTATCAGGTCTGCCTCTATAATTTCCCTTACCGTCTTATCTCTATGTTTTCTAATATCAGTGCACAAATTAAATTCAGGTTTGCACCCACAGTCATGGCAGTGCGTCGACAAATGACCGTCACGCTGTCCGCTCACTTTTTGGTTGTGTTCGCGCAATCTGTCATTTAGACATCTTCCCGTTCTTTCGTAAAAAGTATGACGAGCGCTTCAAAAGAACAGAAAACCAGAACAAAGCATTTGATGTCAACTTAACGAGACAGCCAATCAATTAGAGGCTCTTATTCTCGAAAGGGACCCAGAAATCTAAAGTCTCAAAATGGCAGTAGGTAATGCCGAACAATACTTTAGACCAGGGATTTCGAAACCCCGGTCCGCGAAGGGCTTCCGACCAGCCCGTGGCTGCCCGCGGTCCTTCCAATGAAGCCGGCCGACGCCGCAACGCGCAGGGTAAACGAAAACAGGCGGTAAAAACGGGAGAAGACTTGTCTATCGTAAAGCGTGTCTCTCGTCATGTTATTCAATAAACATGGCATCACCAGTAGTACCCTTCTTAGCCCCCTGTTTTACAACTGCGGAACTACGTACGTTAAAATTCCTTCGAGTTTCCATGTGTATTGTGCTTAGTGTCCTGTGCTGCATCAATTGCATATTGTCAGATCAGTTCTAACATTCTTATTAGTGTTTTGCCTTGCGTGAAGATATCAAAAGTTTTTATGCACTGATTTCTGCCCGGTGAGTTTTCTGGGTCCCAATTATAGCGTAATATCATAATGAGCTAAATATTTTAGAAAGAAAGCACACGTATTCATTTGCTTTAGATTCTTTTTTCTACTAACTTTTACATTTTTATTTATATGCTTTTCTATAGGAATATTTATTTACTTCCCGGCCCTCGAGACCGCGACATGTTCTCGGTCCGGCCCCTTTGCCAAGAAGTTTGGAGACCCTCGCTCTAGACAAAACAACGTCGAGATTCAGGACGTAAAACAAATGAAGAAAAAAAAATGAAGAAAAAAAAAAAACGTGAACGATAAAAAAAAAGTAAAAAATATAGTAGCCAAACTTGACCTTCTGTCTCGACTGATCAGAGCATAGATGCAGCACACAGATTGACCTCTAAAGAAGGAAAAGCGGCTCCGATTCTTGTTAGGTTCCCGGACAGAAACGCTAGAGACATGTGAATATAATGACACTAAGAAGTGAAAAGACGGTGAGTGTGCAGGCGAGCTGGTGGTAGCTAATCATGTCGTATTACACCTGAGACTGCGGTGGAAGAAATCGGAAGAACTTTCAGTAGAAGGAAATGACACAGAGAACGTCTCTGTGTCTGTTCCTTCTACTGAAAGTTCTTCCGATTTCTTCCACCGCAGTCTCAGGTGTAATACGACATGATTAACTAAGAAGTGAGGGCATATGCATTAATGAAAAGTTGACGAGGTTACCGAGAACATTGTTCTGGATGGAGCACGAAAAACCGAGCAAAGGATAAACAATACAAGTTCGTCTGGGTGCCAAACGGAACAGTTTTCGCTATACAGAATATAAAAAACAGCTGCGATAAGGGTTGACTACGAAAGGCAATTAAACAAGATAACTTAAATGAATAGCAGATATTAAACTTTTCAGGGATGTCTGGGGACGTAGGTGCAGCGTCGGTACTTTTAGAATGCAACGGAAAACAAATATTAAATCTGCTACACGTCAACATTCGAAGTTTGAAGAAAAACGGCACGAGCTCAAAATCTATGTCTGGTAGGTTATCTAAACTGGACGTGATATTGCTTACTGTAGTAAACGTAGACGATGAGACTTTTAGAACGTAGTACCTTCAACCTGAACAGACCCCACTCTTATCATATATGCAGGGAAGGAAGGAAGGAAGAGGGGGGAGCTATTTTTGCACTGATTAATGATAACTGTCTGTCTGGCAGGTTGGAAATATCGTTTGATTAGGCCGAGATGATGTTAATAGAAGGGAACAAAATTGAAATATGTTTACTGTTTGCGCAGTCTAGAGCGCGAACTTATTTTGTGACAAGTTTTCTTAGCGATTAAACGAGCTATATACGAGTAAATGTTTAGGGTTTGCTGGAGATATCAATATAGACGTTCTGAATATTTCAAAACATGGAGTAAACGACTATCTTACTTATTAACTATAGTTACGGGCTTGATAATCTGGTCGTCAACGTTACTGGGGAAGATTACTTGGAAAACAGAACAACTAAATCCTGTATTCACCATACATCGGTTAGGATGAACGGTTTATCCACGTTTGCTGGAGTAGATAGGAAAACACTGACTGATCTTTTTTTTTTTTTCACAGCTCTAATGATATTTGAAGTAAATATGGAAGTTGAAGAACAAAGTCAAAACGAAGAAAGTATATTAATAGATTCAAAAAACGTCAGTAAACTAATTGTACAATATTACTGGAATTCTTCATTAAGTCTAGACCACATACAAGCATACGAGATTCTAGTCTATGTGTTCAGGAACATATACAAGGAATAAAAAATAACCATAAAACTAAAGCAAAGGCGACCTGAGATTCTGTCGATTAGTAAAAAGGTAATCGAATTATGCTACGTTAAAGAAAGGTTGTAGACCAGATGTGAGAAAAATCCTAGCAATACTTTTCTGAGAGATGAATTTCGCTTAATAAGGAACGAAGTCAATGCAAAGATCAGTCTAGCAAAGCGAACATACCACGCTAAAATATTTATGAAAATACTACAAATTCAAAGCAAACCCGGGACTTGGTAAATCAGCTAACAGGTAAAGTAAATTAAAAAAAAAAAAACGAACAATGATGATACAATTAAAAAAACAAAAACTTCGGAGAAGCAGCAGATGTCGCCTCACTTTGCGAAACGTTTAATATAGGTTTTGTAAAGGTAGTTGAAGGCCTTAGAAAACAAAATGACGTCCCAAGATCCAAAACAACCGTGAAAAATGTTGCAAAATAGAAGCTGGGCTTATCTTCTAATCACGACAGAATTAAATCTGCAAGAAATAATGGGCTTAATGTCAGTAAAAAAGAAAAACGGTTGGTACGGATGAAATCAAAGAAACCTTACCATAAAGTTTCCAAGAATAAAATATGTTCTTCTTGCTTGTTATCCTAAATGGGATATTTGACAGGAAACATTTCATTAAGGCTGCGGTCCCACGGTAGCCATCTTGAACAAGGCGTTAGTTCAACCAATAGATGGCGACACGCACCCGTGGGGTGTAAAGCCCCTTGATAAAAGCGTTTTTTACAAGTATCGCCAACTATTGTTGTGAAAGCGCTCGAGACACGTGCCACGAGCAGGTGCTCCGCCGCCATTCGCTTCCAAGGCCCGCTCATTTCAGTGCTGCGCCGCCATTTGCTTCCAAGGGCCGCTCGAGACATGGGCCTCGTGCACTCGCGCATTTGACGCTACTTGCAAGACAAGAGCAAACACATCGAGGGGCTTTAGTGGGGTGGCCGAAACATTGGTTCACAGTGGGATGGCTCGAGCACCATCACGTTCCCCTCGTGGCCTTGCTCGCGCCGCTGCCAGCTGTGCTCAGCTAGCTCAAGTAGCGTGGCCCAGCAAACGGATGTATGCGAGAATGTCAGGCAGGGTAGAAATTGTTCTCTGATATAGGGACATGCGGTTCGGCGGTTGTAACGGGCTTTCGCAATAAATCTTATCAAGAAGGAGTCAAATGTTGATTGACGTGTCAATATTCTATCAATGAAAATTTCCTCTGCAGGAATGCACGCTCAGTAGACTCAATCTTCCGAGACACCAGTGGAAGCGGACGTCAAGTAAACTGCTTCGCGATTTACGGCACTTACCCCACCATTTTAATGACGACTAAAATAACGTCACGAAATAGTGCATTTC